ACACCCCGTTACCAGCTGCTCACGTGAAATCTCGCGGCCTGAAACCACCCGCGAAACTGAGCAATTTCTGCCTGAGGATTATTCTCCGCAATCAGTTGTGCCCTCCCCAGATGGTGCTGGGCGTTATTTGAACACGAGGTATGTGAGGCTACTGTGATTCAGGGCTGATAAAGCTGTCTTTTTGAGAATTTCAGGGTGTAGTGTCACTCTGAATGACGCATCGGTGTACAAGATAGAGTGTATATATTTACGAGGTGACTCTTGCCGTCAAATTCAAGTTACAAGCAAACTGATCCGTTCTGAAAATGATAGCATAACATACGGCCAGGTGCTGCATTTTTCCTGCTATAAGGAGAGAACCCAAGTATGCCGGCTTATGAACCGACACCAGGCAAAAAGAGTAGAGCTCTTCATTGTATATCTTATGAAGTGACAAACAGATAAGTGGGTAGTTTCGCATTCGACTGCACTACCCAGGTACTACAACACTCTGAGTATACACCCATCAGGCCCGAGAAAAACTTCTTTCATCATTGGTATATACGTAGAGAAGATTGACAGCTCATCAGAATGCTGCAGTTCTGATCATGATGGGAATCACAAGATAACAAGAAAAAAGAATCAAACTCCGCCTTCAGACATTATAAAGCTCAGGAGCACAAATCCAGACCACACCTGTGCTGATGGCAGTGTCACATGCCCCCCCCAACTCTCGCTTTCATTAATATCGTTCACTGAAGACAAAACACTTATTTGCCGCGGGAAGCGTGCACCGTGGCAATGATCTTATCAACCACCGAGGGGTCGGAGAGCTGCTTTTGCGTTAGCGCTAGTTGAAGAATGATCCGAGGGAGATGAAACTTACGGTGGAGGTGTCACCAAGGCTGTCCTCCTCGCCGCTCAGGATCTTGCGCAGAATGCGACGCATGATCTTGCCACTGCGAGTCTTGGGAAGATCTTCAACCACATACACGGCCTTAGGGGCAGCGAACGGCCCGATAGAGCGGCGAACTTGCATGATCAAGTCCTTCCGAACCTGGTCGGTGGTCTCGTTACCCTCCTTCAAAGCCACGAAGGCATTGACAGCCTGACCGGTCAGCTCGTCGGCAATGCCGACAACGGCAGCTTCAGCCACCATGTCTATGCAGATGTTAGGAACCCGTCCTCGGAATGGGGGTTGAATCACTTACGGTGCTCGAGCAAAGCAGCCTCAATCTCAGCAGTGGACAGACGGTGTCCAGAAACATTGACAACATCATCCACACGACCCCGGATCCAATAGTATCCGTCGTGGTCGCGGCCAGCACCGTCTCCGGTGAACTGAATAACCACAAGTTAGCCACACTGTTAAGCGACACACATGGAGATCGATGACTGGAGGTACTCACGTAGTAGCCCTTGTAGACATTCAGGTAGGTATCCATGTAGCGCTTGTGGGCACCCCACACGGTCCGGGCCATGCTGGGCCAGGGCTGCTTGAAGGCAAGCACTCCCTCGACATCGTTGCCCGAAATCTCCTCTCCGGAAACAGGGTCGATGATAGCGGGCTCGATACCGAAGAAGGGAAGCGATGCGCTACCCGGCTTGGTCGGCGTAATGCCACCCAAAGGGGTGATCACGTTCGAGCCGGTTTCGGTTTGCCAGTAAGTCTGTCACAATGCCGCAGATTAGCCAAAAGAACCATTGCGCCTTCAATCGACTCGCACATACATCACAGATATGGGCTTCCTCCTTGCCGACAACCTCGAAGTACCACTTCCAGACTTCGGCGGCGATGGGCTCACCGACCGAACCCAAAATGCGCAGATGGGCCATCTTGTGGTGAATGTGCTCGTCGCCAGCACGCTTCAGTAGGCGCAGGGCGGTGGGGGCCACGTAGAATTGCGTGACCTTGTGCTTCTCGATGACATCCCAGTAGCGGGAGAAGTTCGGGTAGGCGGGGGTGCTCTCGAAGACCACCGTCGAGCAACCTAGCAGGAGCGGAGCGTACACAACATAGGTGTGGCCGGTGATCCATCCGACATCACCACCGCAGAAGTAACGATCGTCATCGTGAATGTCAAAGACGTACTTGCCCGTCATGGCCGCTCCAAGCAGGTAGCCAGCAGTGGTGTGCATGACACCCTTGGGCTTGCCAGTGGAGCCGGAAGTGTAGAGCAAGAAAAGAGGATCCTCAGAGCTCATGGACTCGGGAGCAAAGTAGTTGGGGTACTTCTCGACCTCCTCGTGCCACCAGACATCACGACCCTTGGTCCAGGGAACCTCTGCGCCGGTGCGCTTGTAGACGAGAACGCCCGTCACATCGGGGCACTGCTTCAGTGCCTCATCGACGATGCGCTTGGTACCAATGACCTTGCCGCCACGCTTACCCTCATCAGTGGTGATGACGACCTTGGAACCGGCGTCAAGAACACGGTCCCGCAGAGAGTCGGAGGAGAAACCGGCGAAGACGACGGAGTGGACAGCACCGATACGGGCACAGGCGAGGAAAGCAATGAGAGCCTCGGGAATCATGGGCAGGTAAATGGCGACGGTGTCACCCTTCTTAACGCCCTGCTGCTTCAAGACCCAAGCAACTCGGGATACTTCGCGCAACAATTCGCCGTAAGTGATCGTTCGACCCTCGCTGGGCTCGTCGGCCTCGTAAATAATGGCGACCTTGTTGGGGTTCTTGATGGCATGGCGATCGACGCAGTTGAAGGAAGCATTGAGGCGACCCTCGACGAACCAAGCACTGTCACCATTCTCTAGAGAACCGGTGTGGACGGTCTGGAAATCTCTCTCAAAGGTGAGGAGCTCGCGGGCCATGCGAGCCCAGAAAGTGTTGGGGCTGCGAATCGACTCATCGTAGAGCTTCTTGTATTCGTCGAGGTCTTTCAAGTGGGGACCGGAGGGGTGCTTCTCGTGGAAAGCTTGGGGAACGTGGAAAGTATCAACATCGTGGGCCTCAAGCACCTGTAGACCCAATGGCAGAATAATTAGCAGATGGAGACCCGGAGATTTCTCGGCCCAGGGCGTGGGCGTGGGGAATTTTTTTCTCTTACCACGGCAGGCTTGGGAGGCGTGATGCTGCCGTCCGCCATGTTTTATGATTGGTTATGAGTGTCCCAACGGAATTTCAACTGGGAATTCGGAGTCGAGGGAAGCTGGGCTCTATGGAGGGGTGAAAACGAACAGAGTCAGTTCAGTCTCCGGCGCAATGAAGAGGATCGGAGCAGGCACGTGAGACGGAGATTGCGCGGGCGACTTACTGATATGCACCAGCACTGGTTGGTTGATGGTGGGGGGGTGGGAGAGGGGGAGGGGAGGTTGCGTTGAGATGGGGAGATTACACCGGAGAAGAGAGGAGAGGAGGGAAGGAGAAGATGGAAATTATGAAGTTAAGAAGGGGAGAGAAGAGAAAGAAGAAAGATAATTGTTTTCAGGGACCGGGGGTGGGAGGGATTGGGGCACCGATATTTAAGAATGTCCGATGGAGTCTTTTTTGATGGTGGTGGTAGTCTAAGTGGTAAAGGTAGTATTATTTTATTATTATTACTAGTATTATTATTATTGTTGAGAGAGTCAGTCAGTCCCGCTCCCCCGGTGTCGCGCCCACAGTGGGGAGAGTAGACTAAGAAAGACAGAGAGACAGAGAAACAGACAGACAAACAGACAGTGGCAGACCGACAAGAACAGAGTTACCGTACTGTCACTCCGGTGTAATTGCTCGGTTTTCCTCCTTTCCCTCCTCCCACCTCTTTCCTTCCTTCCCTCCCTTCCTCCCTCCATCCGTTCCCCATAAAGTCAAACCGGTCCATGGGTCAGTTCAGTGGTGGTGGTGCTGACCCCGAAAACCTGAGCTCTGAGCAAGATCCGAGAAGCTGGGGCTGTCTTCCTCCTACCCGACAACGGTACAGCTGCAGCTGGTGATGCCATTGACCTTGTCCCAATGGAGTTATCCTGTTTCTTCCCCTTTCCTTGTTGACTGGAGAAGTACAGTACTAAAACTACTAGGTACCTAGTATAGTGGACGAGGCCCGACACTTGATACCCTAATAACATCCTCTAACAACAAACCAATGCGGGCCCCTCCTTGATAAGCAAGCCCTTAGCAGGCACAGTCTTTTCCCGCCCATGCTGCCCCCCTCCCTCCCTCCCTCCCTCCCCAATCGAACCCCAACCTCAATCATGGTTCTAATTAAACCGAGAAAATGAGATCTCCTTAGGTCTGACTTACTTTGGACACTAGGGACACTAGGAAACAACCTGGTTAGTCTGGTCACGCCGCCGCAAAAAGGTTGGGCTCGGCCATGCGGGGCTTGACAGCCTTTGGTTTCCGTTCCTCCGGGGAAAGGCAAGCGACGATCTGACTGTCTGTCAGGACTCAAAGTCGCATTTCAGTGCTTAGGGATGCATGGACTAGTCGATTGCGACGCTTCCATCTCTATCTATTCCTTCCCACTAGCTCCTTTCCTTGCTGTAGTCGACTTCGAACCACGCGGATGGTATGACAATGGTCCAATGGCGATGAAGCTGGGTACTCGCTTTTTTTCCAGGGTCCCATTCCCTCCGGCTTCATTATAACTAAGTAGTTCAAAGTTCCCCCCGAACACGAAGGGAATGAGTGACCCCAGCACTCATTTGAGCAGCCCAGGAATCCAAGACAGCCCGTCAGCGGAAAGAGCGCGGGGAGGTAACATCACAAGAACCGCCACCCCGGCCTCGATTGGAGGGTACTCCGTAAATGACTAACAGAGCTCGCTTGTGCCGTGCGGGGGATCAAACTCAAAAACCTTACCGGACGTGAAAGTAATCTCTTCGATTGTTGGGGGAGCGCTGCGCCCACCTGGAAAGCTTTAGTGGCATCTTCCGAGATGTATCTGTTTGCGGACAGAGAGACGGCCTGGGGTATCATAAGACAGACAGAAGACAGAACCAAAGACTAACTAGGAAATGTTACCGCCCCGGATATTCCGAGCACGAGGCGGTTACCACCACCTAGACTAGGTAATTGTTGTTCGTGATTCATGAAAAGGTTGATGATTTGAGCGGGAGGATGTAGGGCGATGACCCAAACACGTGCGTTTGAGGCTGACCGATCTCCAGCATAATCTGGATATCATGTCACACCAAGGACTTCCCTCCTGCGGGGGGAAGAACTATACGAACGACTGCTTGTCCACTTGCCGAGGCAGGGTAGGGCTCTGTAGTTCCCTTGGACAGTGCTCGATGATTACCTACCTAGGTAGGCGTTATCAGAACAATGACCTTCAGGTGCCCAGATTGCCCTTGTCGATCAGCCATCCAGGCCAATTGGTAACGTTATCTGCCATACATGATACAATACTCGTAGGAGTCTCGGGTCGATCGCGGCCATTGCCTTTCGGTTCGGCTATTTTATGGGGCTCTCTCCTTGTCTCCGTGGCCCTGGCTCTGTCGCAGTACTTTCGGGCGGAGAACAGGAGATCTCTGAACCGAATAACCGGTGGAGGGGGGCGCTGATTCTCTTCTATACTGGCAACGTTTATTGGGATGACTGACGACAACTCTGGTTGACCGTGGGAGGGGTGATTTTCAGGAACGGCGGCGCGAGGTTGGAAACTATGCGACTCTGGAGATGGTCGGTCGGTCGATCGGTCGGTCGGTCGGTCACTCACTCACTCACTCACTCTTTCTTTCCGTGAACGCGTTCAACCCAGCTCATAACCGGCCACTATTGAACCCGGACCAATCCCCATTCCATAGTTTTGTCCTGATTCCTTTTCTTTTTCCTTTACTGCTTCCTCAGAATTGACAGTTGACCTCGAAATCTCCAGTCGAATCTTCCCATCAACATTCGACTTCGATCCGGTGTTTCGCAACCGGTTGCGGATTTGAGCATAAGCCATTTGGCGCAGCTCCGACGGCCGCTACCCACATTTTATGCTACTCTCTCTGTCCGTCGTCCGAACCGTCGTCTCTTTCCCCCATCCACTGAGGGTCCCGCGGGTGTCACAGTGCCAGTCACTAGGCAGCACGGCTAAACAACGCAATCAGAATCGAGAACGGTACCCCCATGATCAGCAGCACCAAGCACAAACCAGAGCGAATTCATCTCGACCATCGCATATAAAATCTTGGCGGAACCACTCCGGGTGGTCAGTGGGGAGATGCCACTGCAGTAAGTAGGTAGTGAGTGGATGGCTTCTCTTTCCGGATTCGGCCTGAGGTGCCGCCGCCGCCGCTAAGTGACTTACTTGAACATTCCCTGATCATGGAGTGAGCCCGGCTGCTGAGATGCGTGTTCTGGGAGCACAGGCGAGAAATAATCATCTCAGATTAAGAATCGTGCCAAACTCATCTGATGCATGATTAATCAGAAGTGTCATCAGAGTCAAGGGCAGTGATTCTAATGGCAGGAAATCATTCTGAGTCTCAGGAAACCATGAAAGCTGATACCAGTTTTGGTATTTCCAGAGATCTGCTCCTCCCATCAGTAGGAGGCAAAACCGAACTGGATCTCTGCGGTATTCATCAGTGATCAGTGCAGTAGTGCCAGTGATGGAAGTCACTTTCCCTTTCTGTTCTATTACAGTAGGCCCGAATTGACGCCGCTTTTGGCCCACTGCGCGGCCCCGGGGCGTGGAGAGAGCACAACAGTGCGTGTCCTGGGCGAATTCCCCACTAGCATATAGGTATTTACTAGTCATGTGACCGCAACCCAACTAAACTGTGCACAACTATCCCAAAACATCCAGCCCTACTGGATTTGATTATCTTGTCAAGCCCGAAAGTGAACATGATCATATCCCAAGAACTCGATGATATGAGCCTCAGATTGTTCTCAAGCACTCGTGGCTTAAGTTCTGAAGAATAATCGATAGCCACTCTACCCTAACTTCCCGGCATCGACCATATTATCATTGCGCCAGGCGCCTTGTCTACGAGTAGCGTTAGCATGTCCATGATCGTCTATTCACCAAGAAGAAAAGAAACAGTCCGTCTATAGGGCGTAGAAGAAAAACAAAAAAAGTCTCCAGATACCACAAACCAGACTGTCAGCAGTAAATATCCGATGCGCCCGATTAAACCAATCTACAGAAAAACACACCTACATAATTTCCATATGGCACATTGCAGAGCGGTCACAAGCCACAAGCCAACATCCCAGATAAAGGTAATATCCAACCTAGTCTGAACAAAGAAAATGCCTGGATGTCCGGTGCTATTGGCATAGTGCAATATCGAGTTCAACCCCACCCACAGCTTTCAGCACTGCGTAGGTAGGTAGTTTGTCCACACAGAAGGTCTCGCAGACTGAATCAGACTTCATGCGCCCCTACAAAAACGCCCTCGAGCATAAGCCCCCCTTTATGTGAAGATTTCAGAGAAAGGCTTCGGCAGTGTAGCGTAAGAGCACCAGGGTCTTGGAGATTATAGTGGATTACGTTGTATTGTCCGCTGTCCGCTATAATGTTTAACACAACGAAGGAATATGACGTTTGGAACGGACTGATATGGTAAAAGCACCGTGGATAGACAGACACACACACACATACGTACATACATATACATATATGTACATATATTTACTTACTTATTTACTTACTCACCCAATGATTGAGAATATCACTGTTGGTACTCTCTCCCCTGCGCTGCGCTTCCTAGCTGACTATCTATTCATATCACGCAAGACTGCGGGCACAGATCTGACTGTTGTGTTAGATGTCATGGTTGCATATGCACCTCTGTACGGGAAGAGTACTCTAATCTACAGCAAAGTACATACGCCTCGAACCAATAAGAGTTGACCATGCTACATCGTAAGCTGAGGATGGAAGTTAACACGCAATTGCGAGGTTGCTCCAAATAACATCAAACCATCTTCCCAAAAGCCGTACATGTTCATGTCTCAGATACAGAACTGAAAGACATGAGCGGGCCCTAAACACCGCCCTCATCCACAAGCCCCCGAATCCCGACCAAGATTTCTAGAAAAGTTTCAGCTTCAGCTTCCACCCAAAGCCCATTCGCATCCACCCCCTAACACAACAACCCCAACACCCCCTCAGATATCCTCGCCCCGCGCCCAACCGCGCCGCCGCCGCCGCCCCTCACTTCCTCAAAGCCATACCCATCGGAAGGCGTCAACCCCACCTGCAAGCTGCGCACCATCTCCCGGAGCACGGGGTTGGCGGTGAGGGTGGCGCGCTCGAGGGCCTGGATCTCGAGCTCGATCTGCTGACCCAGCACCCAGAGGGCCTCGGTCGTGAAGGCGAGCGAGCGCGTCTCGTGCCGGAAGATGTCGAGGACGAGCTCCTTGTGGCCGCGGCCGGCGCAGCCCGTCGCGTGGCGCTGCATCAGCACGTTCATCAGCACCATCCGCGTGGGCGGCGTGGCGTGCGCCAGCGCGTGCAGGAGGATGAAGCTCCATTTGCCTTCGTCGAGGTCCTCACAGAAGCCTTTGCTGTCTTGGTACTGTTTTGGTGGTTTGGGGTTAGTGGTTAGTGATCGGCCGGGGGGGGGGGGGGGAGGCAGGGAGCGTTGGGGCTGGAGGGGTTTGTGCTTTAAGGAAATACCTGGTCCATTGCAAGGTTCGCATAGTCATCGCGGATCTGGAAGAATCGTCCGAATAGGATCATCAGGCGGTCGAGAGAGGGAGGGTTGGTGGTGCTGGATGGGGATTGTTGAGCGATCATTAGGCGGGCGATGAGGCGGAAGAGGGCGCCCGTTTCTGTTTTCGTTGTTCAAACAAATGAATATGGAGTCCGTGGGTGATTTTCAAGGGGGGAGGGGGTGGATTATGTCTTGCGCATTCAGGATTGCAGTGGGACAAACGTACTACCGTCAATCATCTGTAGATACTCCTGCGAACTCGGTGGTGTCGCGTGTTGGACCCAATGCAGATCCAGGCTCTGCGCGACGAGCATATTCTTCAATTCCTCTACAGAAAATTGATCAGCATCAGCACATCCATGAGTTGATGCGCGTTGTGGATTGGGAAAGATGGCCCACAATCGTCCTAGAAAGCCACATACCCAATACGATAGTCTGGGCAAGTGGTCCAGCCACCTGCGCGACGCGACCGATCACCTCCACCAGCTGAAATGTAGCCGAGTTGACCGTCTGTCCGACGCCAAACACGGAGTGCGCGGCGGGCTTGGACCGTCGCAATGGCGATCCGTCTTCAACATCATCGAGCCTGACAAACGCGATTAGTGGCTGCAGACCGGTGCAAAGTAGCTGGGAGAATGAAGGGGGCCTGCCGCGCACATCAATGAGATGTTGTGTATATCGCCCACAATGGACAGCAGATCGGGGAGGAAGTCATCCGGGATGTCGATCCACGTTCTCAGCGCTTCGATGATTGTATGTCGAACGCCCTTGGTGGGTAGGGATGATAAATATTGAAATGGAGCTATAGCTGGCTAGAGGGACACTTGTGTCAACCCTTTTCTTCTCCCCTTGTTCTCTCTTCCTGAGCTCTAGCGGATGAGGTGCTGATCATTGTAGGGAAATAAATGGCATAAATACCGTTGTCGTGGCGGAGGGAAGGTTTGTATCCATTAGCTCCCTCACCATCGAACGCGCCTCCTTGGGAGTTGACATGACCTCTGTCATATCTCTGTCGAGTACCGGGGACATCCTTAAAAGACTGTGTGTTGAATGAAAAGAATTGGAAGAAGATCCCCACCGCAGTACACTGCTTTAGCTAGGAGGCTGAAAAGGTATGCAAAAGTCGAGGCGGGGTTATATAGCTAAGAAGCCGTTCTTGAGCCTCTCGCCTTTTCAGACCTTGTCAGATTGATATTGCTCGGAAGGGCAAGGGGCAGTGAGAGTGAATGAAGTTGGGGAGGGGCTGTCTAGAGGAGAGGCCTGGGAAGTGGCAGGATTGTTAGCACTGGACCTAGTACTACAATAGGTCTGTACATACTGACTATATACTAGATATCAGATAATCTTACCAACTTTACTTGTGATGCCGGGTAGATCGGAGTCCGAGTTGCCTAGTCCCTATGCCAGGTGTATCCAAGCTATTATGATCAATTCTCTGCTTGTTTTGTCGTGTCATTTCTTTCTTATTTTTTTCGCCCCGGCGCCTGCACGTACAGCACAAGCATTGACTTTGGCAGATGAGTGGCAGATGCACGGATGTCGGGATTGAGGCTTAGTTGAATGGATGAGACCTGGGCGGTACTTTGGGGCTGCGGTGTATCTTGCAATTGCAAAGACTGTCAGATTGTAAAGCTGTAAGATTGGTAACTTGCGAATTTTTCAATTTGTAAATTTGTACGATCATCAGATCGTGAGACTGTAAGATTTTTCTTGGGCAGGACAGCGGCAGAGAGGGCGAAAAAGCGCCCCCAAGTCAGACCGACCCACTACTAGCCACTATCTTAGTGTACCCATTTCGGCAGTAGGACTTGACGAGGACGGCATCATAGTATGCACTGTAATGAGTACCCAGTAAGCTTTCCCGCCTGCATGAACGTTCGTCATCGGCATCTCACGCAGATGTAGTCTGATACGAAGTAAATTGTGCAAAAACAATCGTCAAAATTTATGTACATACACTATATACAGGACACGGGACGGGAAAGACAGACACCCACTACGAAGCTATGAAGCCCCCTGATCTGTCTAGACTGTCAGGGACTGCCTGTTCAAGCTTTCCGTTGAACCCAGCTCAATGGCGGCGGGCTTGCTGGCAGACTTCTCCCACGGCTTCGGGGACTGCCAGGACCCATCCTTCCAAGGTCCATTGCTGACACTGCGTTCCTTTTTGCTTCCCCCGTTGCTGCTCCAGAGACGTGAGAAATACGAGGTCACACCCTTGGGGAAGTACCGCTCGACGAATCGCGGGAGGAGAAGCATGCAGGAGCAGAAGATGCCCACATTGCACTCGAGGACGCTGGAAGTATTGGGCAAGTCGCCGTTGGTCAGCTCAGGAGCCCTAACCAAAGACTTGTTTTGCAATGGAGTCGGGAACACTCACGCCCACACAGCGATATGGGAAATATTCCAGGTCGCGTCCGTACTGTCAGTCAGAATATGGGTTTGACCAAGTCGAATTAAACTCGTCACGCATGCACTGTGGTTGGGGGAATCACTAAGAGTCAGATCGCAGCTCTAACGGGTAGCACGAATTCGCATTTATCACGTTATGCACGCACAAGATACCAATACTGAAGACTGCCAGCAGTCGTAGTCGCCGTCGCAAAGTCATGTTCAATCCCAGACACGATCGTATCGGCAACAAGAGGACATAGAGATCGGTCGTCGAGCTGAGGGCGCCTGAAAGATACGGCAGAATTGTCGGGTTCCAACACTTCCCCTCACCGAACTCGTTCCAGGCGTGCGAAACGGGAGTGCAGGAGAAAATAGTAAGGAAAAAGACCGTCACGTGGCTGATGGACACGAAGGCGATACCGCCGAGGATAAGGTATCGCATTGTTCGATCGGGAGCGAAGATCCGATAGTAGAAGAGAAGGAAGCTCAACTTCACCGCTGGGGTCAGGAGAAGGTAGACATATTGAGCGATCGTGAAGTACTGCGCAGTTGAGCTTGGGTTAGACTATCGCTGGACTTATACTGTGCGGACCGAAAACTCCCTTCATACCTTGAGAGCTGGCACCAGCCATGTCATAGGCTCATCCCACATGTGTCGCCCAATGCCCCAGTGATAGGCTATCAATGTGTCAATAGGGCTTTGCAGTTTTCGGTCACGTCAAGAGCTCTTCATACATTCAAACATCAGGCCAGAGAAAGCCACTGTTAAACACTAACCAGCATTCAGCTATTGCATCCTCAAGGGAACCTCACTGGAGGAGGCTACGGTACATACCCAAGACAAGATCACAAAGTCTGTCAGTTGTGAGTCAGTATCAGCTCAGAGAGAGCCATCGTCCGGTGACTTACAGTCATCCAGCCCAAGCTTCGACTTGAGAATCCCAACTCGGGTATAGATTCGGATCGCAACGCCAGCGGTGGCCAGCGTCAGGCATACCGTGTGGAGCGCGATGTTGTTGCCCAGCTGGCTTACAGGATCGATAAGGTTGGACTCTTCTCCATCTGGAGGCTGTAATACACCAATCCACTGAGTAGCCATGATGCAAGTGTGTCTTGGGGGAGGGGGGTAAGAGATACAAGGGGACTGAGACGAGGGTTTCTTGTTGATCAAGGTTATATAATGTCGATGCACAGCTTGAAAAGATCAGCAAGGCAGACCATGCTGGTAAGGTTTCTAAGTTGCTACTCGGTATCTACAAGATGGGGGAAGATTTGGCCCTTGGGGGCTGGAGTGGGAGGGGGAGGGGAAATACTCGAATGGTGCAAGCAAACCAAAGAAGGAATGTTAGTCGTCTTCCAAGTTCAAGGTTGGGGGCCATGGAGTGCTGATTGGGAGGTAGTGATGGGCAGTATGCAAGTGAGACTGCAGGTGAGACTGCAAGTGAATGCAAAGGTACAGTACACTGTAGAGTGTGGTGCGCATGATTGTCGCCTGTTGTTTGGCCCGTTGTTAAGTTACTTGAGCACCGGAGATATGTATGGTACTGTACTGTATTGTACAACTCGGTGGCCAGGGTTGAATCACTGGGCAACTTAGCGAGGATCGTTCCGTGCCGCAGCAGTCCTCCTGCCTGCCCACTGCTCGTGCTGCCCGTACTGGTATTTAGTTTGTCTGTCCGTCTTCTGCCTAAGTAGATGATTCCCCAATTCTCCTCCCACCACTCACTAAGCTACCAAGAGGTATTTCGGCCCATCATGACTGGTAGTTTCTTGAAGATAGTGATTTCCCTGCTGTTGGTTGTATGCATTCATGCCCCCTCCTCCCCGCTTCTAGTTTTTGTCTTTGGTGGGCCCTCATTAACCAAGACTTTCCACCATCTACCAGTATCCGATTAGCCGTGTCCTTTACAACACTTTCTTCAGCCCATTGAAACATGTTCCGGGACCAACCAGCTGGGCAGCCACCCGTCTGCCATTCATTTGGGGATTGCTCCGAGGCACGATTGTCCATGACTTTGAGAAACTGCATCGTAAGTACGGCCCTATTGTGCGGACCGCGCCCGATGAGATAAGCATTGCCAGTGGTGAGGGCTGGACCGCTATCTATGCTAGCCGGCCACCTGATCGACAGTTTCTCAAGGATCCGGTCTGGTGGCGCAGACAGCCTGGTCAGCCCGATTCCCTCTTGAGTGCAATCAGCCCAGACAAGCATGCAGCAATGCGAAGGCTGTTAGCGCCAGCTTTTACCCAGCGTGCACTCCGAACCCAAGAGGAGGTGCTGCAGAAGTTCGTCTCGCTTCTCGTCGCACGGATCCGAGAGCAGGTGGAAGCTGCTGATGGTGGTAAGGCCGGTGCCCAGATTGACATAGCTCCCTGGTTCAATTTCACTACGTTTGATATCTTTGGTGACCTGGGCTTTGGCGAGTCCTTTAACTGCCTACAAGACTCCGAGTATCATCCCTGGATTGCGCTGCTGTTCAACAGTGTCAAGGCTGCCTCCGTTGTTGCAGCGGCACGGTATTACCCACTGCTGGAGTGGCTCCTGATGAAATGTATCCCCAAATCCCTGGCGGAGAAGGGCCAGCGCCATTACCAGCAGATTGTGGACAAGGTCGATCGGCGGCTCAGTTGGGAGCTTCAGCGACCGGATATTATGTCTCACCTCATCGACAAAGACAGCGGCCAAGTGGTTTTCCCGCGCGGGGAGCTCGACGCGACCTTCATGATCCTGACGACTACCGGCAGTGAGACTACTGCGACCGTGCTGACGGGGATTCTAGCCTATTTGGTGAATAACCCGAAGATCATGGGGCACCTGGTCAGCGAGATTCGAGAAAATTTTCAGTCTAGCATGGAGATCAGCCTGGCAGCGGCTACGGAGCTCCCCTATCTCACCGCGGTCATTGAAGAGGGGCTCCGGCTTTGTCCGCCCGTGCCGTGGATGTTGCCCCGTCAAGTGCCATCCGGTGGAGACTCGGTGTGTGGTACCTGGTTACCCGAGGGTGTAAGTCGCATTCTATTCATTCGCAATTCGCAGTACATACAAGCGCAGGGGGGCTAAAACCAGATCACATCCAGACTTCGGTCTCTCTCCAAGCTTACACCCTGAACCGTGATCCATCCCGCTTCCATGCCGCTACCTCCTTCTGCCCCGAGCGCTGGCTTGCGGATGCCTCGTCCAATCCGGACTCACTTTTTTACCATGATGACCGCCGGGCCGTGCAGCCGTTCAGTATGGGGCCACGAAACTGCTTGGGGCAGCACCTGGCCTGGGCGGAAATGAGACTAATTCTTGCCAAACTCCTGGTAACCTTTGATTTCGAGGCTGTGGAGGGGAAACGATTGCAATGGGAGGAACTACGCACGTTCTTGTTGGTGGAAAAGCGACCCTTGTGGGTGCGAGTGCGAGTGGCTGGCCCCTGATGATGATTCAGTGGGGCTGGGGGCGGGAGGGGAGCGTTACCTAGCAGCTTAGCAGGTAGTTAGACTACCAAGTACGGAGAGTTGGTAATTGAGTTCTATCTTAGTGGTTACCGTTAGTTATAGTAACTACGGAGTACTAGGTACCAGTTGAGGTACTCTCCTTAGTCTAGTACTTCATAAAGGGGTTCAAGGCTCTTGAAGATTCATGTCCGCCTTTGCTCCCAGTTAGGGCTGATTGCAAATGTACAGTAAAGTAACATCTAGTTACCTAGTAGCTAACGTTGATAAATCGATTTAACAGCCACATCACAAGCTTTCTTGACCTTCTGTAATACCCACTCGCAAAACTCGGTCTCTACTATACACTGTGCTGTAATGCACTGTAATGTAATGTAATGTACGATGATACTGTTGGTACTGTAGGTACTGACTTATACTCACCCACTTCTTTAGTGCTTACTGTGCCTGGCATCCATCCCTAAGCACTGACTCAATCCTTCCCATTCCCTCCGCCGCTTCCTTCAAGCCACCACAAACACAAGCCAAATGATCCCGTTAGTGACTGAGGACAGAATCATTGCCTGTTGCCTGGTTCGTTAGATGAAAGTCAACGGGTCTTGCTTCCTGCACGACCCACTCTGCGTATGCAATGAGGATGGTGGTGCTTTTCGCACCAGCGATGCTCGAGAGCCGCATGGCTGCGGGAGGCCCTCTTATATAGCAATCGTGACCGAGACATTCCATGTGGCTCGCTGCTCTAAGTGTTCAAGTTCATCTTTCTGTTGACTCAATGGCAATCTTCGTGAGTACACCAGTGACCCTGGCCGCTGCGGCCGCTCTGGTCCTCACCTACTGGGGATACATCGCGATCTACAGACTGTACTTCTCTCCACTGGCCAAGTTTCCCGGGCCCAAACTTGCCGCCATCAGCGGCTGGTATGAGTTCTACTTTGATTATTGGAAACAAGGCAAATATATCTTTGAGATCGAGCGATTGCATCAAGTCTATGGTATGCGCAGTGTTTCCGGGGTCCCCTCCGATGCAGTGCCCCGCGGCAAAAAGAGAATTTTGTGCTGAGAGAACTCTTCCTGTCCAGGACCCATTGTGCGCATCAACCCCGACGAACTGTCTATTCACGATCCCGAGTTCTACAGTGAGATCTATGTCACTGAGAGCAAGCGCCGCACGAGCCACTACGACGTGTTCTGCAAAGGCATTGACTTCGACGGTATGTATGCCTTTCTGTATTTTCAAATGCGATTCCCTTCCAGGCCGAGTCTAATGAATTCTAGGCTCGCATCTTTTGACTGTGGACCACAACCTGCACCGCAAGCGCAGAAAGCCTCTCGAGCCTTTCTTCTCTCGTATGGGGATCACCCGGTTGCAAGATATGCTGGCGGAAGTCGCCCTCAAGCTTGAGGCACGCCTGCGCGAATACCAGGGCACGCACACGGTGATCCGACTGGATCACGCGTTTTCTGCCTTCTCGGGCGACATCATTGGGCGTATCTGCTTGGACCGTGAGGATGCTGGCAACGAGTTCCTGGATGATCCCTTGTTTGCACCGGACTGGTAGAGCCGCTCTTCCGAACGTGTGATTTTCGGTGACTGATCCGAATTCGATGCAGGTATAATCTCATTCACAACCTCGTGCGGTCGATCCCGCTGTTTACCGGCTTTCCGTGGATTGTGCAGTAAGTGTCTAGCGAAGCTTCGTTTGCGGAAGAGTGTCTGCCGCTGACCTAGCGATGCATGACAGGCTCGTGAGCTTTATCCCAGAGAGTTTCCTGCTCAAGGCCTTCCCACAGGGCCAAGTCTTCAACACGTTCAAAGCCGTAAGTCCTGCCCCAATTGCCCCTGCCTTGCTTCGATGTAAGTTAACATGTTCGCCGATGCAGGTCGCGCTCCGCAACATCGAGCGGATCCTCAACAACAAGGAGTCTCTGAAACAGCAGGGATACAGCAGCGCCTCGCTCTTCCACCACGTCGCGGACAGCGATATGCCGGACTCCGAACGGTCGCCCGAGCGGTTGGCCAAGGAGGCGCAGGTGCTGCTGGGCGGCGGGACGGCCAGCACGGCGCGCACCATCGGCTTCGCCTCCTACTACATCCTCTCCAACCCGGCCATCAAGGCGCGGCTGCAGGACGAGCTGCGCGAGCCGATGGCGGAGTGGCCCGACCTGGTCCCCAGCTGGGCGGAGCTGGAGCGTCTCCCGTACCTGCAGGCCATCATCAAGGAGTCCCTGCGCCTCAGTTACGGCGTCATGCACCGGTTACCGCGCATCTCGCCCGACCTGCCCATCCAGTACAAGGACTACACAATTCCCATCGGGGTACGTTCTGGTCTCGATCAAATTCCATTCTTCTCTGCACTGCTAACAGAAGCAACCTACTATGTTTCAGACCCCCGTAGGGATGTCCGCCTACTTCATGCACTCCGACCCCGCCGTCTACCCAGAGCCCAAGACCTTCCGTCCCGAGCGCTGGGTCGAGAATGTCACCCCGGCCATGATACAACAGTATGTGCCATTTTGCCGCGGATCGCGCAACTGCCTCGGTCAAAAGTACGTTTGTTTTTCCCTCCCCTGGCATCCCGACAAGAGGCTCGAAGCTGACGCACCCGAAGCTTGGCAATGGCCGAGATGTCCCTCATTCTGGCTGTTTTGTATCGGCCGAACGGCCCCAAGTTGGAGCTGTACGAGACCGATGAGACGGATGTGATCCAGGCCCACGATTTCATGATTCCGCTCCCCAAGGTCACGACTAAAGGCGTGAGGGCTTTGATTCGTTGATTGCGGTGGATTCTCGGATTTCTTTTTTTTTTTTACTTTGCTGCTGTTTTCTTTTCTGTTCTTATTCTCAGTTTCCTTTGGATCTCCCGCTATGTTCGCGTTGATTCTGTATTCTAACCAACACCATCGAGTCCGAAAATTCGCAATATACTACAGTTCAATCCGGACAACCCGGCAAATGGAAGCTAGAGTACCGTTCAGAGCGCAGCCCCCATTTAATGCAGTGCATCAATGCACAGGGCAATTGAAATATCCTCGGGGATGGATTACTATCACTGGTTATGTTTGTTTAGTAGTTTTAAGCGCTGCAAAGGAGGGAGGTTACTGCACAAGTCTGCATACAAGTTCAAAGGATCACTGAAGGATCTAGACTATTATAGTGACTCCAGCGGGGATCACTAATACCCAGAAGACACAGCCCACCCTTGATGAAAGACACACTTGTAACCGGATTGAGTAGTCCAGATGTCACTTAGCTAACATGATTTCGAAGAATGTTCCTAAAGACCAACCAAATCGATGGAATAAGCGGGGTAAGGCGGTCCCTTTGCCCCCAACCCCCTGGGTACGTGATTAATAGTGCATGCGGCTATAGTGACAGTGAGCCTCGCTGCGGCAATAGTACCGTGGTGGGGCAATGGCAACGCCATACTTGCAGATGAACGAAATACAAGGTAAGAATCGAGGTATAGAATGTAACTTATCGGGAGATGTACAGTACAGTAGGTCCAATGTATGTTGCTTAGTGCAGCATGATAATCGCTCTACATGCTTCATCGCTCATACCAACCCCTCTTAAGAAAAGGCGCCATAGAGAGTCCCGAATTACAGGAATAGGGAGTAACTTGAAGAGATTGTAAGTTAGAACTTGTATCACTTGTCTATGCTATCTTTCTTTGCTCCTTGTTTCGTTCTCGTTTTCTTATACTGATTAATCTTAATGCAGGATGATTAGAATTCTCTTCCCTAAAATCCTTCCGGGGGGAGGGGGGGGGTTGCCTTATCGCGACAAATGGGGGCCACATGCATACCGGTAACTACTAAACAGGCAGTTGATCAATAAGACGGTAAGCACAGGGCCAGCAAAAAAGCACCTGGATCATTAATGACAGATCCTATGGTTCAGAGCTACATTGGGGGCCAAAAGGAAAGACATTTTTGTGAATATCGACCAATCCACAGTCAAGCCACCAGCTAAGCGAGACAAAATCCTGCCGGTGATTGGGGGCCGAAATTCTGTTGGCATTGGTGCTGTTGCTGTTGCTGTTGCTTAGCGCGGCACTGCAGTGGTGCACAGTTCACGAGACGGGACGGATAAGATATGACTTGGAATAAGTGGAACAAATAACAACAACAACAACAACAACAACAACAACAACAACAACAAACGCACTGGCTAAGACACTTAGTACTTCGTCTCCACTAACTTATGGTCATCTCTAGTGCTTACCTTATCCATCCATCTACTGACAAACGGAACTGCGTAGGTTGTCAATCGTGTCTAGTGCTTACTTTTCATGTCTTTACTGCATACTGCACACAGTCGAACTTCCCGTCTTGGACTGCGGGACAAAGTCGGACTACGGACGGGATATTGAGATTCATGCATGCGGCAGTGCTGTTGTCCGTAGTTAAGCCTGTAGGATGTAGTACAGCTCCTGACTTACCTACTCTATCGATCTCCGGGAAGGACGGGACCGAATTTTGCTTCGCTTACTGCTGTGGCGGCTTTGCTAACTGTAAGGACATCATATTCAGTACTTGTAGTTTTCTCGATGTTATGTACTATACCGTACAGATATAACAGAGGTGGTACTGTACAGTATGTACTGTACAGTACTGTACGTTTTGCACAAGGCGTCCTCTCGTCCTCACCCGCTGTAAGCCTTGTGTAGCGCAACTACACGCAATCCAGCCCGGTTTTCCTGGATTGCAAAATACTGATGGCGTGCTCAGGTACCGGGGGCCGTGTACTGTCCTTACGGACATCAACTGCCGTGACTATGGCCTGACATCGTGACTGAAGGAGATGTTTGGACTATCCTACAACGACCGTGGACTTTTGTCTGATCGAGCAAGGTATCCGGCCCCCAGGGGAAAGGAGGGGGGTTGAGGCTCACACTGCTGCTGCTGGCCATCTGGTGAGAAGACGGAGGACATAAAACGGCAATTGCAGGGTATCCTTCCTTATTTCGGCCATGCGAAGGTCCTCTCTCTGTGAGTGTATGTCTTTGCCTATCATTACTATTCACATTGACCAATTTCTCCCCTCTTATAGTATAGATATAGAAGCAGGGACTGCCCCTCAGCCTACCTCTCACACAACAAGCCCCACAAACTCCTTTTTTTTTTTTTGGTTTCTTTGTGTCTCGTCCAGGATGAAGTATCAGTTTTCATACTTAGAGGAGCCCAATACCTACGACGACCGTGGGTTGGCGAACGGAATCCCCTTGCGCGTGCACCGGGATGGGTACCGAGAGACCAAAGGCGCGCTGCGGGCTCAGGCCGACTGGAACCGGCTCGTCGGGCCCATTGACCGCTACCACGGCGGACTGGGCCCCCGGTACAGCTTCATGCAGGTGACCGTCCCCGAGTGTCTGCCGGAGCGTCTCGAGGTCATCTCCTATGCTAATGAGTTTGCTTTCCTCTACGATGGTAAGCTCCCTCCCGCATTCCTGCCTCCGTCTCGCTTTTACACGATTCGCATACTGATAGCAGTCGTGATCAGATGAAATGGAGAAGCTGATCGACCATGACCGCGTATGTCCACCGGATCCCCCACGCAGTGCAGAGCAGAGAGGCGAGAGAGACTAAAGAAGGCACGGCTCTCATCAGGATCCTACCCGATCGAATGAGATGGTCGATTCATTTGGTGTCGACCAAAGAGAGCAGCCATCCCCATCCTCCGCAACAGCATCCTCCTCCACCACAACCACAGAAACAACAGCCTCGCGAGCCAACGCGCTGCAGGCGCAGGTTTTTCAGGAGATGCTCACTATCGACAAGGCGCGGGCCGTCACCTCCATGAAGGCGTGGTCGACCTTCCTCCAGCTGGCGTCGCGCAGTCGCGTCCGTCCCGCCCAAACGCTGGCCGAGTACTTACCCATGCGGATTATCGATGCAGGGGAGCTGTAAGTTAAGCAGACCACCCCTTCATCTCTCTCTCTGTGTGTGTACGTATGTATGCAACTAACACCGGGGATAAAAACATGCAGGATCTGGTTCGGCACGTTGACCTTCGGGATGGGGCTGACGATCCCGGACGAGGAGCTGGAGGTCTGCATGAAGCTGGCCCGGCCGGGGTACGCGGCGATCAGCCTGACCAACGATCTCTTTTCGTGGAAGAAGGAGCGGGCGGACGCCGAGCTGGCGGGCGTGGATTATGTCTTCAACGCCGTGTGGGTCATCATGCAGGAGGGCGACGCCCATGGGAATCGCCGGTCCGAGGCGGCCGCCCTGGCGGTGTGTGAGGCCGAGATCCGGCGCTACATCGCCGAGTTCGATGGGATCGTCGAGGCAGCGCGCCGCCAGTTGCATCTGTCGCGCGACACGCTGGCATACCTGGAGGCGGTGCGTCACAGTCACGTGGGGAATTTGGTCTGGAGTATTTACTGTCCGCGGTACCAGGTATAGATCAATTTGGGGATAGGGATAGTCATATATCCGAGTGAATGTTATCTAATTGTGATGTGGAATGTTAATATTGGATGTCGGAAAGGGGACGGGGAGGTGAAAGCTTGAACGAACAAAGAATCATATGGTACTAAGGTAATCTCCGCTAATTTCCGTACTAGTAAGGGTACCACTAGTAGTTTACTGGGGGGAGGAAGTCAATAGTACATAAACCCTAGTCGCTCCCCCGTCGCTGAACCAAACTATCTACTTTAACACACTCTCTTTTTTACACACTGCATTACTGTCCTGGCCATCTCTTTCTTTATTTTATTCTCAAATCGCACCAAAGAGTACCATATCATATCTCATCAAAACAAGAAAAACAAGATGGGGGCCCAATTCTCGCAATTCTTCCCCCCACGCCCGACCTTCACCCTGGCCGACGTGCCCTCGCAGCAAGGAAAAATCATCATCGTGACCGGTGGTTCCTCAGGGATTGGATTGGAGCTCGTGAACATGCTATACAGCAAAGGAGCCACGGTTTACATAGCGGGCCGATCGGAATCCCAAGCCCAGGCCGCCATCGACCAAATCCAAGCTACGGCTACAACTACGACGAAAGGCCAATTGCACTACCTCCCGCTCCATCTCGACGATCTGACCACCATCAAATCCGCCGTCGAAACCTTTGCCGCCCGAGAGACCCGACTGGACCTGTTGATCAACAACGCCGGGGTCTCGCAGCCGCCGCTGGGCAGCGTTTCAGCCCAAGGGATCGAGCTCCAACTGGCGACCAACTGCCTGGGCCCGTTCCTCTTCACCCAGCTCCTCCTTCCGTACCTTAAGGCTGCTGCTGCTGCTGTTGCAAGCTCCGACTCCCCCTCGAGACCAATCGCCCCCCGCGTCGTCTGGACCAGCAGCCAAGTCGCCGAGCTCTCCGCGCCCCCCGAAGGCATCGTGCTCTCGGAGCTGCAGCACCCGCCGCGCGATGCCGTCCGGAACTACGTGACCTCCAAACTGGGCAACTGGTTCCTCAGCGTGGAGTTCGCGCGTCGCTACGGGAGCGGCGCGGCGTCGGCGTCGGCGTCGGCGTCGGCCTCGGCCTCCTCGCCGCTGGTCAGCGTCGCCCAGAACCCCGGGGCCGCCAACACAAACCTGCTCCGCAACGCGCGGTGGATGAAGCTGCTCTCGTGGCCGCTGCTGCACAAGCCGGCGCTGGCGGCGACCACGGTGCTGTACGCGGCGCTCGCCGAGGAGCTCGACCGCCCCGAGAACAACGGCGCGTATGTCATCCCCTGGGGCCGCATCCATCCGGGGGTGGCGCCGGGCTTGGCCCGGCATCTGGCGGCGGAGGAGGAGGGGGGCTCCGGGCGGGCGAGGGAGTTCTGGGAGTGGTGTGAGGAGCGGACGAGGGATTATCTGTGATGGGTGTCTGCCTGGGGTGGTTTGAGCAGATGTAGTTGCCCATTTATGGGGATTGAGTTTTCGGTGCTTCGATGCACTGGGATGAGGCTTAGGAGCGATTGATTTCGTCAGATCGGACTCCTGTTTTTGCTATAGCGCCTTTGCACGACCTTTTTACTTGCTTCCTGCTTAGAGCGAGATAGTCAGATGAATTCAGTTTATACTGGGATTCTGGCTTAGCTCACATAAACTTCCAGCGGGGTTTACATGTGCAGGACAATGCTGCAGCCCGAAGCTCTGCTTTTATACTATGATACTTGCCTGGAGGCTTGGCGCGGGCTTCTATTTTTTGAATCACAGAATGCTCTATTGTAAGCCACCAGCTCGGGATTGATATTCAGATCATGCGAACATAGTGAGTGGTGAGCGGTTGGGGGGGGGGGGGGGGGGGGAGGTAGTCTACTGTATCACAAATTCGATACTCATAACTCGCCAAGGGAACGACATATCCTTAACCATCTCAATCACGACTAGTCCATCAGTTCGTTAATTGAAAGCGCAGCTAGAGAATTGCCAGAGCCCTGAGTACATCTTGCAGTCGGAACCGAGAGCATGAGAGCAAATTCAAGGCCCGTGTTGGTAACTCACGCCTTACATTCCATAGCTGGGTTTATGTTGTATTTAGAATAAATTGGGTTAACTAGCTGCGCACGGTTTAAACACCCGGCCGGGCCCTTCGGAAGCGACCGGAGTTTTCCAGGTGCGTGTGCCCTGGGCACGGATCCGTGTGCTCCAGGCGCCAGGAATAAGATTCTCCCTCCACGGTTTCGCTCACATTTAAAGCGGCAGCACCGGTTTGATTTGGATAAACAATGGCAATGGCATTGAAGTTGGCATTTACGCCTTCCTTGAGTGTTGCCTTTAGTACTTCCTGCACCAGAGCAGTTCCACCCAGACCTTACACTTTTGACAGCCCTAGAACAATGAGGTGGGCAAATAATTGGAGGCAGGCTTGACAGCGTCTCCCTTCTGGCTCAATCGACTAACTACCTAGTAGACCACGCAGCAGTTGGGGTGTGGTCCTCGAAAAAGGTCAACTTCGTACAGTACCGTATACTTCTTTCTTCGTGGCCACGCTCTTAGATGCAGCACATTACTATTCCCAGTTGACTTATGCCACCTTATTATTTGGACAGTGAACAGTGAACAGTGAACAGTGCGGCAGAGCAAGCAGAGTCCACTGTTTATCAACTGTAGTGCTTGCTTCAGTATGAGCAGTGGGGCAGATACCTATGCATGCCCACCGGATACTATGTACTTAGTACTTAGTCTAATCAGCAACTGAAATGATCGCCACTCTCTTGGTTTCTAGCACGGACTCCCACAATGTTGATGAAAAGAGACAAGCCAAATCTGACAGAAACCCCCAAACCCTGCCACGCCACGTCAGAATCTCCCTCAACGAAAGGCCCGTTGCCCGCTGACGACCGTCCTGAGAAAGGACCCGCCTGCTTCAGCCAAGTCCCGGTCTATATCCAGCGTGCTAATCCGTAGGTAGCTCAGCCAAGTTCCGCTTCTCCTATGTAACTTCAGTTACCATCCGCTTCCGCTCACCATAGTACTATGAAAGTTGGTACCAGACTAAGTACGGAGCATGTCTTGACCTTACGATCATCTTGATACGCCCCCTCCTCGCGAATCCGCGACCGGCTGGGTAGGTTGTCTAGTCCGGTGGCTACGGCTGAAGTGTGAAAGGCACTGCACTGCGCTCGAGGCTTGGGCACCCCACCGGCCACCGGCCGGGTTGCTTTCGGTTGGTGGGCGGTCGGATCTGATTCAAGGCCTGAGGGCGGGGTTGGAGGTTGTGAGGGTGTGTGTGCTCGGAGGCCCGTAGCCAATGTGTGTTCCAGTTCCAATTGACGGAGCTGGCTGGATATCCCCGTGGGCGGGGCGGGAGGAGTGGGTTTGTGTGTGGGCTAGTTATAGTAGTCTAGGTAGTCTAGGGCTGTTCTAGGTAGTTTGACTGTCTTACGAGTATCTCCTGCCGTTGTTGAGTGCCTATCCACCATCCGTTGTCCACTGTCCACTGCCCAGGACTCCTGGGGTGGGTGTACAGTACTAGTCTGGGGGTTTCTAAGATTCAGATTGCAATGTGCATGCTCTAGTCTGCATGCAAATTGCAGTAAGGGGAGATGCACGTGGTCAGGTCTAAGGATTGGTTTGATGGGGGTCGGTGCAGGATCAATAAGTTCTGCGTTGGATTTGCCTGCGGGAAAGGGGGGGACCGAAGTTTAGATTAGATTACTTGGTTTTTGGTGGTGGACCGTTGGAGGTTCGGGTCCTGGAGATGTAATTGTATTACTCCGTACTCCTTTATACAGTGAGCCTGGTATGAGCACTAAGCAGCTAGTGTGGGTTACACTAACTCATCGGTAAGAAGGTAGTAGTGGGAGTAGCCACTCGCAAGACCGGTCTGTGGCAGTAGTAGTGCTCTCATATGGCTTATGGCTTCGATTCGACCAGGGTGCACGATACTCACGGTCCATTGAAGTCATCACACGCGTGTATACAGACAATCCACAATTCTAGTCATTCTAGCCTATATCCCAGGACGTCTTCTGCCACAAACAAGCAATTCAGACCAATCTCTCTCCATACCACCACGACGCCAGCCCAAATAAAAACACCACCAAGCTCCCGTCCCGCATCACATCCCGCACCAGCTGCACCCCCATCCCCAACCCGACCCCGCCCCCCTGCTCCCGCGACCGCAACAGCGCCCGCGCCCCTGTCAACACCACCTCCCCCGTCATGAACACCGTGAACGGATCCCGGGCCGTCGCCGGCGCCGGCGGCGCCCGCCCGTACACGCTCACGGCCGACCCCAGCACGAAGAGCAGGTACAGCCCCGCGACGGCGGCGAACACCAGATGAACCACCTTCCAGACCATGATCTCGCGCTTCTCCGCGTCCGTCTTCTTGCGCATGGCGTTGCCGATGAGGTTGGCCAGGAACGGCGGCAGGCCCAGGTTGGTGAGCAGGTCGGTGGACGACTCCTTGCCGTCGCCGAGGCCGAGGTCCGCCAGGTTGATGTTCTCGAGCGGGTTGCCGCTGCCGCCGCCGCCGGAGCTGGAGGCCATGAGGGAGTTGAGCAGCTTGAGCGTCGGGTCTTGCGCGTCGAGGCCGAGCAGGTCGCCGGCTGGGTTGGGGGCGGCAGCGCCGCCGGGCCCGCGGAGTTGCTGTTGTGGGTTGGGCGAGGGCGCCGGTTGGCGGAGCAGAGCACGGAAGAGTTCTTGTTGGGCTTGGAGGGTCTCGGGGTCGAGTTCGGGTTCCGCCTGGGAGTGGTCGGGGAAGGTGGGAGGGTTGGTTTGGGATTGGGCCGGGGTTGGAGCTGTGGTCGGAAAGACTGGCGCTGGTGGCGGCGGTGCTGTGTGTTGTGATAGGAATTCGGGTTGCGGGCTGGGCGATGGTGAGGGGACCTCATGGACTGGGAAGAGTCAGCTCAGCTATTTCCTTCGCCTGTGTGTTGATAACCATGGGTAGGGCGTGGCGGTGGTGGTAAACAGCTACATACCGCTGGCTGGGGGCCGTCCACTCAAGTTGGTGATCTTCTCGAGACGAGCTGCACCTCCTTCCTTGATCTTGGCTTCGCGACGCTCACGGCGCAGGCGAGCAGCTCGCTGAGCCGGGGACTCCTCGGCTGCAGAGGACATTTTGAGACGGGCTGAAACACCGCAAATAGGAGGAGGAGGTGTGGTGGTGGTGGTGGTGGTGGTGGTGGTGGTGGTGATGATGGTTGTTGTTTTTGTGGGTGATGGATCGTTGAGCGTTTGCTATTCGGTTTGGCCGTTTTTCCGTTTGACTCAGTGAGGATGTGTCAGATTGTCTTAGTTCTCGTACACAGTCGTAGTAGTCCTGGCACACTGGGGTAGGAATGTAGACCCAAGAGCGAGTCGAGACTGGCGTATACCAAATCGTTGGTTGAAGTTGAATGATGATGGAAGCCGAGAGGTCACGTCGGCGCCGCAGAAGCGGCAGTCTCATTGGCGGGCGGTGGAGCCCGTCTCACTCGGCCGCCTTCCCCGGTCTCGACCAACAATACAAAGAACTGGCCTGCAGGCGTTGATGAGCATTAACCTGACATAGACATGTTCTATGGATGGGTTCGAAGCCGCAGAGAATCTGGAGCCATGGCCAAGAGCTTGTCAAGGGCCAAAGCAAAAAAACATGAAGACCACGGCATATTAGTACTATCCTACTTGTCGCGCGGAGATGCATCAGCGTCGGCTCAGCTCTTCTCGACAATATCTACAAGGCATGACCATATCTGTAAGGCTTAGATCGCGCAAGTGCTAAATGATCCGAAACTGCCATAATGATAACCGCTTTCTACACTGATACTGGAAATCAGCATGCAACCACCCGTTGACTGTGGCACTCGCATGTAGACGCACTCATCCTTGCACTAGACTCACAACACTCCATGATCCAAATGCCAGGCAAAATCAAGCCACCAATCCGTGCATGCAATGGGTCGACAGAGATGGTGGAAATGATGTTGATCCGATGTCAGCACAGAGAGAGCGAGCGGGAAGTGACATCATGTTGTCTGGTTGTCTGTCCGGGACATTAAGGGACGCACGAGCAGAGGCATCCTTGTTGATTTCCTATCGTCTCTCAATGCTCTATACCTATATTCTAGAGCCAGTATCCGAATATAGCAGCGCATTAGACCTCAGTGCGCTCTCAATCTCGTAGTACAATGAGTTCTTATCAACTCACCCTCAATGGTTCTCTACTACTCGACCGGAGGCAGTCCGCTCTCGCGCCAAGGCCAGCCTTCCGCCGAGAGCCATGACGGAGCAAGAGAGACAGACACTTCCAGGTAAACAACAACCAAGGTAGAAGAGAGCTGTCAATCACTACCACCACCAGTCACCACAGTGAATGGAGACTGATCTGGACCCCCCCGGGAAGGTGGGCACTGCAGTAAGGCTGGCCTTCCCCAAAATATCCAGCATATGCCCGGACGCGTCGCCCATCGATTGGCTGATCGGCCTTGGCTGCTTCTCTCCACTATGACGTAGTGCAGCACGAAGGTGACTTCACCTCTTCACCTCTTCACCACCGTCGATTGCTACTCTTCGTTGAATTTACCTTGGTTTCTCTTCCTCATTGCATTTCGACACTATATCCTCTACTCTAGGTTCAATCACCCACAGGTCCTAGCTGGAATAAGCTAGGGGATGATAGCCTGGAACCACCCTCCTCTTATCTCATCCACAATTCCTGATTGATCCGCGCTTCCATACGAACTTATAGAGCACACAAAGAGCAAAATCAAGACACGCGACCATGGCCCAGGCTACCAGCGGGAGGGAATCTCCCAAAACCCATCGCATGGGAGAACACTGGAGCGGGGGCAACCCGGTCCCGACCATCAGCCATTTCATGGACCGTCTGGAGCATGACAAGCAGGAACGCAAGGCTCATGAAGAGACCCTGGCGGCCAGGAAGCGGGAGCGCGAGGCCCAGAACCAGGAGATGCCTCACAAGCCCCGGGAGACCACCGGAAAGACGCGCATGGTCACTGATCCTACCACGGGCAAGGAAATCGAGGTGGAAGACTTGGATGAAGACTCAATGGATGCGGTGAAAGATCCCAAGGTATGCCTCCCTTGCACGCCTAGCAATGACGAGGAAATGTTTCTCTAACTTCTGTGACAGCTCGTAGTCCCTAATGCCAACCTCGGAAAACCAACGGTGAGTTACACTCCAATTGCAGCGGAGGATGCAAATACTGATACCAGTGCAGGAGGTCAAAACCGCCCCAGACCAGAGCCTTTCACAATACAAAGAGAACCAGGATATCACCGCACCGCCAGATCCCATCGCAGAGGGCACCACCTCCGATGTCCCTATCCATGGCGAGAAAACCAACGTTCTGTTCCACCCCACCCCTACGGTCACCTATAAGCCGATGTTCGATCAGCTGGAACGACGAGGAATTGGACTATGTCTGGGTATAGTGGCGGGTATTGTCTTCCTGGGTCGGATCTTCAATGGATCGCTGTGGGGTCTACTTCCCCTCAGTTTCTGCATCGCGAGCGGTGTGTGGCTGTGGGTGCAGGAGGTGATTCGCAGTGGTCGGGAAATGGAATGGAGCAGTGAGCAGATCCGGGGCCAAATGGTACGAGAACCTGCGCATCGGTATAGTGCCAAGTGGGAATACTGACTTGAGAGGACCAGGCGACCGCCAACCTTCTTCCGGAATCCGTTGAATGGCTGAACTCGTTCCTTGGGGTGTTCTGGGGTTTGATCAATCCCGAAATGCTATCTCCCGTCGCCGACACTATCGAAGACATTATGCAAGCTTCAGCGCCGGGGGTGGTCGAGAATGTCCGCATCGCAGAGATTGACCAGGGCAACAACCCGATTCGGATTTTGAGTCTTCGCGCACTGCCCGATGATCATGTGAAGCAGCTCAAGGAACAGGTGCACGAGGAGAATGTAAAGAACAAAGACCCTCAGGAAGCTGCCGCCGCAGAGGAAGGCGGCGACTATTACAATATCGAAGCATCCTTTGCCTACCATGCCAAGCCAAGTGGTCAGACTACTTCGTCTAAAGCGCGCAACATGCACATGCAGATTGTGTTCTACCTCGGAGTCAAAGGCCTCTTTGGAGTGCCGTTCCCTGTCTTTGTGGAATTGACTGAGTTGGTGGGCACTGTGCGTGCAAGATTTCAGATGATGCCAGAGGCTCCTTTTGTGAAGGACGTGACGTTCAGCTTGGTTGGCCTCCCACACGTCAAGGCTGGATGTATGCCAATGGTCAAAGGAGGAGTGAACATTCTCAACCTGCCCTTGATCTCCAACTTTGTCAACTATGCCATTGCCACAGCCGCCGGTCTGTTTGCAGCCCCCAAGTCTATGACCATGGATCTTAGCATGCTGCTCAAGGGTGACGATATCGTGAAGGAGACGCAGGCCTTGGGTGTCATGTGGGTGCGCATCCACCGCGCAATTGGTCTGAGCAAGCAGGATCGACGTGGCAGCTACGGCGGTGGCAGCGACCCTTATATCAACCTTTCTTTTTCGAAGTATGGCAAGCCCATGTACTGCACTCGTGTGATCACGGACGATCTGAACCCAGTCTGGGAGGAAACTGCCGCCTTGCTGGTAACTCCTGAGCTTATCAAGGCGGATGAAAGTCTGAGCGTTGAACTCTGGGACTCGGACCGCACGACTGCCGATGACATCGTCGGCAAGGTGGAACTTCCGATTCGGAAGATGATCCAGCATCCTGGCAAGATGTATGCGCAGGTTTCCAAGCTACAGGGTCTGAACGAAGGCAGCGAGATGCCGGGAGAGCTGCACTGGGAAGTGGGCTTTTTCGGCAAACCGAAACTCAGGGCTGAGCTGCGCACCGACGGCAAGAAGAAGGACCTTCCCGAGCAATTCAGAGATGTTCAAGAATTCCAGGACGAGAAGGGCGTCATTAGCAGCGAGGAGGAGGACGCCATCACTCACACTCCGCCTGATCCGTTGTGGCCCAGCGGTATCATTAGCATTATCGTCCATCAGATCGTCAACCTGGAAATCAACAATGTCAAGGGTAGCGAGGGTAACCGCAAGGGTCGCGAGTACGAGCCAGCCAAACCGTATGGCGACAACACCGAGGAAGAGGGCAGTCACCTGCCTACGAGCTATTGCAAGATTATTCTGAACGATGAGTTGGTATGTTTATAACATCTGAAAGCCGCCATAGGCACAGTACTAAGAAGCTCCAGATCTACCGCACGCGCGCCAAAGCCTTGAGCTCCAAGCCCATTTTCAACGCCGGAACCGAGCGCTTCATTCGTGATTGGCGATCCGCATTTGTGACCGTCGGTGTGCGCGACCAGCGTTACCGCCAGCACGATCCCATCCTGGGCGTCGTGCCTCTTAAGATCTCCGACCTCCTGCAAACCAGCTCGCAAGTGACTAGATGGTACCCTCTCGATGGCGGGATCGGATTCGGACGCATCCGCATCTCCATTCTGTTCCGCTCCGTCGAGACTCGCCTTCCCCCTCAAATGCTAGGCTGGGACGTGGGCACCTTCGAGTTCGTCTCCGAGAAGCTCACCACTGTGAACTTCAATCAACGCTGCAAGATCAAGCTTCGCACCGGTGGCAGCAGCGGCAAGATCACCAAGCACGTTTGCTCCGTTGACGAAAACAACAACCTCAGCTTCGACCTTTCGGATGAGAACTTCCGCCGCAGCCTCCGTCTTCCCGTCAAGCATCGCTACCGCTCTCCCGTAGTCTTCGAATTCCACGCCCAAAAGAAGCATCACGCTACCGGATACGCCGTCTTCTGGCTGCAGCACCTGGTGGACAACGAAAACACGGAGATCGACATCCCCATCTGGTCGACCAAGAACGGCAAGCGGCTCACACAGAACTACATCACCGAGCAAAATTGGGAGGCGAAGAAGTCGCCCGGGCTGGAAGACCTTCATGAGATCGGCCGCCTGCGCTTCACCGGCCGCTTCACGCCGGGCATTGACGATTCGCACGAGCGGTTCGTGGTCGACAGCAACTCGCGCGAGACCTTCGAGACATGGGAAGCGTGCATTGCCGAGGGGGTGCGCTCGCCGCACATCTCCGCCTCGGTGCCCGAAGAAGTGGAAGATTTGCACGAGCAGTCCCTCCTGGACGGCCGCGACATCCTCAAGCACGCGGACCCCCGGGAGCGCAAGCGCTGGCTCGACAAGCAAGGGTACGACTGGAGCGGCGCCTTCGGCCAGGACCCCAGTGCCTACCTCAACGAGCACGGCAAACAGGTCGCTGAACCGGGCCGAGAGACCCCGCCGCACAATCCGCACAACCCCCCGCGCGTCGAGGCGACAGCCTACGGGACCATGCACGCGGAGGAGAATACCGAGACTCACCCAGGCAGTTCCTCTTCCTCTGAGAGCGAATCCGACGACGAGAGGGACCACGAGATCAACAACTCCCTGCAACCGCAACAGCAGCAACGCGCTCTGGGCAACAGCAGCAGTACTGCCAACAACAACGACGACGACTTCGACGTCAACAACAACCTCCGTCGTTCGTCCGACAACTATACCAACACCACCGCGACGGCCAGCACGAGCAGCGGGCCCAGTCGCTCCAGCACCAACGAGGTCCTCCGAAAGGCGGAGCAGCGCAGCGAACAGCGCCAGCAGCGGGGGATGATGCAGTGGCGCCCCGTCCGCAACGCGGTGTTCGCGCGCGACGAGACCAAGTATGCTTTACGGAAAATGAAGATGAAGTTCACGGGGGATTTATCGGGTCGGGAGCCGGACATTGAGACCGAGACGGGTAATTGATGGGTTGTACTGTACAATCTCTACTTGCTTCTTTTGCGTTGACCATTTACTTGTGCACGTATAGTATGGAGTTAAGGGATGGGTATTAATCAATGAGGGCACGACTATGGTTATAACTTGAAGGCATACGCAGTGTAGATAATAGCCAGGCTCTATGTATTTGGTGATTAGTAGGGTAGATAAATCCCTCACTAAGCATCTATATACAGTATGTACCTAGTTGGTAGCCAAGCAGAACCACCTCCGCCTATCTACCGATCAACCTTCATGCAAATGAAACCCTAACTCGAAGTACTCTTCTTTGCTGTAGGTACATGCAAACCTAAGATCCCACAGAACAGTTCTATTAATACATCCAACCCCCAATGGTGATAGCACCTCCCCACCCCCTTACCTTACAGCACCCACCACCGGAACTCTACCATACCGCTACAGAGTACGTAGCTTTGTTCCCAACAACAGAACACCAACGTTGAGAGCCCCCAACCCCCGAATCTCAAAGTCTGTCATATCCGAAGAACGGACTATTGAACCTTCATCTCATCACCCCGTCCCGCCGCTCTGGGGCTCGGTGGGTCGTGCCACTTCCCTCAGGGAAGTCCTATAACTTAACTAGGTTATCGGTGGTCATACCGGGGTATACAGGAGATATGTATGCTAGTTATTTATAGAGAATCCCATGGACACAGTACAGCGAGTACTCGGTGAACCACACTACTTATCGGCGGGAGCATCAATCTCGAATGTGCAGGCAACAACACAACACAACACTTTACATACACAGTGCAAGTCCACATACACCTACGTTACAGTTTGCTGGAGGAGGGAGGGAGTGAATGTACAGGCATACTGAAAAGAAGAGAGACACCCCAACACAGTCATCGCATTGGTGGATACGCGCACTGCCCTTTCCCTTTAGTCTAGCTGTGTCACGCAAAGACCAAGTTTCTTTTCAGCCTGCACTGCACTGCACTTGGGATCCATGCAGACATACAAACAACGGCGTGTTGGATGGGGAGTGGGAGTGGGTTGGGTTGGGTTGGGTTCCCACCAGCAGTTGAGTGAGTTGAGTGCAGTACAGTACAGTACAGTACGCTCCGCTCGTGATCCAGAAAAAAGAAGTTTCGATAGTAAGAGCCGCACGCAGCAAGGGCTTTTCTACGACATAGGACCGGTCTTGTTGCTGGCCAAGAAACCAAAGACTAAAAAGAAAAGGTGCTGCCTGCGGGAGGGCGTCATTGGCACCTACCGGTACTTGCCCGGCATGCGAAATCTATATTTATACAAGCGACGGGTCGCATTTCTTTCGACCACCACGGAGTAGGTGGTGGTGGTGGTGGTGGCTTCCACTTTGTGTTGCTATATTAAATTGTGGACTTGGCTGTCATGCCGTCCGTTACTTGTGGTTGAAGAAAGGGAGCGTTGGGAAAGATAATATACAATTACTCGGTACAGTAGTAAGAAGAATGGGTGCGATTTTAATTAATCCTGCACAGTGATTTGCCATGCATGCATGCATGCATGTGCGGATATTGGTTTGTATGTATTAGAAATATAAAATAAGAAAAGGAATTATATACATAGAAAGTATGATATAAAAGGGGGGCGGTCTGGGGGTTCTGGTGATGACATCATCGCACCACCGCCTTGGAAATGTCTTAGACAATCCAGGAAGATAACGTGTCCACGGACAAAAGTTAAAGAAAAATGAGCCGGGAAGGGCCGGATCCGGAATGAATGAAATTTCAGAAAGTCGTCTGCCGTCTATATGCATGAGTTCGTGATTGGAAGCGCAAGTCATCATGGTTGGTTGTAGGGGTGTTATCGTGAGAGGTCGGTAGCAGGGCGTTGTGGTTCGTGAGTCGTGATCTTCATGGACTCGTCGGTTCCTTCCAGCTCAAATGCGACAGACGAACTGGGACTGGATTGCGCGTGCGAGGGAGTCGCACTCAACAACGGGGATGATTCCGTCGATGATGGTCGGGAGCCCCGGTCGGATGGGCTGGAGTCGGATCCCGAGGACGATGCTGTTGCCCCGGGTGCTGCCGCCTGCTCTTCCGGGATGGGAGGCGGCAGGAGACTGTCCCGATTCTCCAACGGCCCTAACGTCCAGCGCCATTCGCAGCGCCGCTTGGCGCGTTTGCGCACCGGCGTCTGTGGTGTCATGTCCCCCAGCTTCTCTCGCAAGGCGACCGCGCGGACCTGCCGTTCGGCCTTTTGGTGCTTTCGCTTCTTCCGTTCCACGGGCGACAGGAGGTTGGGTTTGAAGGTGGGTTGGGGTTCGTCGTCAGAGGTGTTTGTGTCGGATGATGAAGATAATGATGATGAGTTGTTGGCGGCGGAATCGGAATCCTCGCTGGGTGTGCTTGCGCTGGTGCTTGGTTTCGAGCGCTCTTCCTCCACGTCGTGGAGGTCCGAGTGGCGCGCAGTGTAATGGACATTTTGGATTTCTTCCTCCAACGGGTAGCGGTAGCTGACTTGCTTCTTGGCCGGGAAGAACACCCGCCTCGTGGCGGGAGCGCCGGTCGTCCCGTTGGTAGCCACCGAGGTGGACCGGCGACGGCAGCTGGGCTCGAGCGGGGAGTTGCGCAGGATGCTGCGCACCCCCATGGGTAGTTGGTATGGGTTGTGGGTGGTGTAGGGTGATGAGGGCTTGCTGAACCGGTGACTGGGGAACTTTGAGGAGGGGGAGGCCGTGGCGGAGACGGGCGCAGTCACGTCGTAGGCATTCTTGAAGGTATTCCGGACGGTGGGGGATGCGGTCGAGCCGGCAACCAGTGAGAGCGACAGGCCCGTGGAGGAAGTGCCGAAAGTCAAGGGTAGGGATGATGTTTGAAGGGTGAGTTTGGGTCGGGAGGCGATCGTCGACCGGGTGTTGGTCGTTGGGGCCAAACTGCAGGCCATGTTGGAGGAAGGCTGTTGCGGGGTCATGGAGGTGGCGAGCATGGTCGACAAGGGCCCCTCTGCGATACAAGAGCAGAAGTTGCAGATGAGAGGATGGAGATCTGGTTCATGTAAGATGAGGTTGAAGAAGAAAGAGGGAAAGGATGGTTAAGAGGAAGAAGAAAATGGGTGAGAAGAAGAAGAAGAAGAAGAGGAGTGCGACGTCGCCCCGCAAGTGGATGGATGGATGGATGGATGAGCGGCGCTGCAGACCGACTTCCACTGGGCTGTGATACTGAGTGGGGATGGGCTAGATGCAGGGTGGGATTAGATAGATATTATTATCCTTATGTGTGTTATTGTGAGTAGTCTTGTTATTTGTTCTGGATCCAGATTCTTGTATTTAGCGTAGACATATGAGAGATACCAGATCCATCCTAATTTACAGGAATAATGATGTGACGGAAAAGAAGAGGCAAAATCGCCAGTCAGTCAGTCAGTCAGTCAGTCAGTCAAGTGCAAGTGCAAGTGCAAGTGGACACTGGACTGTGGACACTGAACTACTGGTGGTGGGCGCTTGGACGGGCCCTATTTTAAGAACACCGGCGATCAAGCAGTACGTGCTCGTCATGATATGATGGATCTGTTGATCCCCCATACTGATTCGGTCTTGTCACCCTGGAATGGACATTAGACAACAGTCATAGTCAATTACTAAATACTCAGTAGACTGAGTAGAATATTCGATTGAAACCCAACGACGAGTTTCATCATCTTCACCATCTAAAATCCTTCTGCTGGTGTTGTGTCTTGGATGACAACAGAGAACCGAAAACGAGTCAGACCCAAAGATGGAGTGGCGGCGATGATGGCAAAGGATTAGCCGCTGTGGAAATTAAAATCACAGTCCAGACGCAGCCAGAGCAGAGCCGTCCCCGTCGTATCGGCCTATCAGCAACAGCTATCGTGCCATCGAGGAGTCTAAATATAGTCAATCCCACGCCAACCCAACTAGTTTTTTCCTTTCTTTTTTTTTTACCTGATATTTTTTTTCTTCTTTCTTTTTTTCCACAGGCCCATCCAGTCCATTCCGGGCCCAGTCGGGCGTGTAGACGACACGCGGCGGGCTCACTTTGAGGGTGGAGACCGGGCGATAGCGGCGTGGATAGAGAGACAAAAACGAGAGTCCAAGCGACTCCGACTCTGGTTCCTGTCACTTGGGTATGTTGGAACGGTTCTTGGCGACTCTTAGCGACTTCTGGTCCCGACCAGAATGCGGAGAGAGGATGGATGGAATACGCAAGTGATGAATGGATTGTGCAGTGACTAACTTACCTACGGACTGTAAGTTAGTGTCTTCTTTCAACCTGCAGCCTTTCCTTGGCTGGACTTAGCTAAGCGGCTTCGGCCGAATGCAGATTAGTCTGTGGGGAAGTCCCAAAAAGGATTAGTGCTGCTGTCACGGGAGAAGAACCAGCTGAGTCAGCCAGGGTCCACCGCGCACCAGCCACCCCTCATCTGCCAGCCACGCCCCCAGCCTCCCTCTTCCGTCTCCACCCAATCAGACCATCCCTCGCCGTACTGTCAGCCTTGGAAGTTTGTCAAGTTTCATTATTAGGGAGGCATTGTGCCAGGTGTGATATCAACTACTCCATTGTGCCTGTGTCTCCATCATTCCTTCATTGCATCCTGCTGTTTATTCTTAGGAACCGGATTTGCTGCACTGGCCTATCAGCGAATGGAGTGTCCTCCACCACGCTACTGGAAGGCTGCAGCACACTAGGTATTAATCGAGCGCATGGTTGGCCGGCAGTGCTGCCTGCCCTCAATCTTGTTCACTGCGCTTCGAACTCTCAGTTTTCAAGACCGTTAATCTGGGTTAGCCCATGGCCACAGCTCCATCCAGAGACGATCGTCGAATCATCTTGCACTTTGTCAGTTGACCCTACGTCCATGCCCGGGCTTCCTCCGGCTCCGTAGGATTGTAGACCTCGACGACCGACTAACCTCATCTCGCATGGCAGGATTATGACTGCTTCTACGCTGCCGTCTTTGAGGTAGAGCAGCCGGTGCTGAAGTCACTGCCGTTGGCAGTGCAGCAGAAACAGATTGTGGTAACCTGTAATTACGAAGCCCGACGGAGGGGGCTACGCAAGCTCCAACTGATCAGGGAGGCCAAACAGATCTGCCCGGACGTCGTCATTGTTCTGGGCGAGGACCTGACCCGCTTTCGCGATGCCTCCAAGCGGCTTTTCCTCTATCTGCGATCGTTCGTCTGGGGGGACAAGGTCGAACGGCTAGGCTTCGATGAGGTATGTTGGCCGGACCTCCACAGGTTCATGCACTATCTTTAGTACCACGGGCTGGGCCCCTGGTAGCACCTCTAACCTGGTCATAGGTGTTCATGGACGTGACCGAGATGATCGATTACAACGTTGACCTGCTCAACCGCCATGACCTGGAACACTCGTTCTTCCATCTTGACCGGCAGGAACCCACAGTGGGTTTCTCCTACAATGCCACCCAAGTGCACGGGCCCACTTACCCTGCGGATCTGAATTTAATGGCTGTAAGTCTAAGCTCGAACGGGGAGATTTCAGGGCTCTACACGCGGCTGCTCGTGGCCTCGCACTTGGCAGGCTTCCTGCGAGGCCAACTCGAGTTCCACATGGGTTACACGGCCACCGTGGGGATCTCAACCTCCAAATTGCTAGCCAAGCTGGTAGGCAACACACATAAACCGAACAACCAGACCACCCTTCTTCCGCCGTACGACGCGAAATCAGGCGCACTGGAGAGTAATGTGGTGACCTTTCTTGATGGACATGAGATCCGGAAGATTCCTGGGTTGGGCTCCAAGCTGACTCGGAAAATCACCGCTTACCTTACCAAAGCTGGCGCACAGGCCAGCTCAGCCACCCCCCCTCTGGCGGATGAGCCAAAGACTGTTCGCGATGTGCGACTGTATTCCAGTATGGGACCAGCCCTGCTGGACCGTATACTCGGCGGACCAGGTGCACCCCGGGATATTGGTGCGCGGGTCTGGGGCTTGCTAAATGGCGTTGACTCTGCGCCGGTTATTCCGGCGGGCGACGTGCCCACTCAGATCAGTATCGAGGATACTTATGGGCGTCTGGATACTCTGGAAGACGTTCGGAAGAAATTGGCCTCTTTGACGGCTAGTCTTCTCCGTCGCATGCGGACTGACCTGACGGAGCAGGACCTTGAGGTAGATGCAGGGCCGGATCAACTTGTCCACAGCTTGGAACCCGTGGAGAAGTCCTCGACCCGATGGCTGGCTCGTCCTCGGACACTGCGACTGTCTACGCGACTTCGGAACTCGGGTACGGAGGGTGTGCGACCGGCTCATCGGACCTCGCGCTCTGAGCCGCTCCCTGCATATGTGTTTGCTCTGGATGAAACTATCGATGCTCTGGCAGAGCGCTTGGTGCATGATTCCCTGCTATCCATGTTTCGCAAATTGCACCCGGAGAAATCTGGCTGGGACCTTCAATTGATGAATGTTGCGGTGACGAACATGGTTGAAGGAGCCGGCGATAGGAAGCAGAGCAGTGGACGCGACATTGGAAAGATGTTCCAGACTCAAAGAACAGGGACCAAAGAATTTCCTGACGCACAGTATGCGGACGTGCCCATCTCAGAGACAAAGGAAACCATTGCCGAGTTTCGTCCCGAGGCCAGTCATATTATAGATCATCCTGTGGGAGATGTGGCGTGGGAGGAAAGCGATGAGGAAGAGGGCATGCTCTGCATAGCCTGTGATATCTGTGGTGCCTCGATTCCTCATTTTGCGCGCGAGGCGCATGTTCTATATCACGCAGCTGCGGATTGATATCCCTTGGGTTTAAGCATAAGGAAGTGACTCATTGCCATGGAGACGATGTCATTATGTGTGTGCATTGATTCGTAGGTATGATTCAAACATTTTGTAAGCGTTTTTCTGTAACATTTGCAGTGACTGCAGATGATATCCCCAGCCAAGAGACATAGCAGGATGTCAATATCAGAGAAAGAGAAAAATGATAAGATATGAATGAAAGCATCAGTGCAGCCTCCGGCGCTTCCTCTGCAGACCGAGTCGAAAAAGAAGGGGGCCGGGCGGGGGCTTGGCATTGTCAACAAATCCATCTTCTTTCCGCCTGTCAATCTTCCATTCTTTCATTCTTTCAATTCTTCATCATTCCTCACCCTCTCTGTTTGTTGTTTTTTTCTGTTGACGTTCGTCAGGCCTGCTGCTGATGCTTGGAGGGCCTGAGGGATCTCTATCCGATCGGATCCGCCTCAGTCTCTTCACTATCCCATTCGTTTTTATTGTTGTTCCTCCTGCCATTTCCCCCGCCAAGGCTGCTGCGCCTCTGCGGGCCAAGAGAGAGACTCCCTCGGCTTCGGTGAAAGTGAGAGAAAAGACCCTGATCGTCTTTCTCCCGCCACAGGGTCTTGTAACAGACCATATCAGACCCTTATCCGTTCGTTGTGCACTGGCTGCATACGGCGTCATCTCTCCATTGTCTGCCAGCCAACCAAGCAAGAAATTGTGCTGTCGCTTCAATCACTTAATCAAAACCGATCCCTTGGCATAGATACAGGAGTGGATTTGAAACCCGCCCCCCGTCTTTAATAACGGGTCGCAGTGATCATCCAAACCATTGTCTCACGCTTGGCGGCTGCCTGATGTTTTGCTTAGAAAGACTCCGGGGGAATTAGATCTGACTTCTTCTCCTTACCGCTGCTGTCATCTGCTATTGTTTTTGCAAATCACTCGTTTACATTCCACTTTCCGCTCGTTCTGCTGGCCGTGAAGTCCAGTCGTTGGCGGCCATGAGGGTCTTCTCTTACTCCCTCCCGTTGATTGCAAGCGCAATATCCCTTTTTGCTTGCGAAGTGCAAGGTTGGTTCTATTTCCCCTGGAGATTTGTGTCAATTTAACTCAATTGTCAACGCAGCCCGGTCGCAGTCACCCAACACCATTCAGCACATCTCGACATTAGACCACCCGACGATCCAGACGCCCTCGCATCAGGTTGATCATCTGACACACTTCGACATCACCTTCAACCTCCGTGACAAGAATCAACGAGTCAAGCTCGAACTAGAGCCGAATCATGACATTCTGGCGGACGATGCATATGTACAATACCTCGATGCCGATGGGAATGTTCGACGAGCGGAACCCATCTCTCGCCAAGATCACAAAGTCTTCAAGGGAAGGAGTCTAATCGGTCGGGGTCAGGGCATGTGGGATCCAGTCGGATCGGCTAGAGTCTATCTCAAGCATGACGGTGACCAGCCCCTTTTCGAAGGCGTATTCAGTGTGCATGGGGACAACCACCACGTGGAGTTGAAGTCGACCTACCTACAGAAGAAACGCAAGCAGGATGCCGATATTGTCGACACCAAGGGCGAATACATGGTCGTCTACCGCGACTCGGATATGTATCGCGTCCACACAGAGCTAAAGCGATCGGTGCTGGGATCAACATCATGTCAAGCTGATCAGTTGGACTTCAATGTCGATCCAAATCACCCGGTTCTTTCATCCTATCAAATGGATGTGGATTCAGATCGTTGGGGAGTCATGTCGATGAATTCCTTGTTCGGATTGAGCAAGCGGCAGTCGGATACCGGCAGCGTCTCTGGAAACTCAGGGACCGTGAATTTGGCGTCGACCATAGGTGACACTTCGGGCTGCCCCAACACAAAACAAGTGGCCTTGATCGGAGTTGCTACGGACTGCTCATTCACAGGCTCCTTCAAGAATGAGACTGCAGCGAAGCAATGGGTGATTAGCACAGTCAACAGTGCTTCCAGCGTTTATGAGAAGTCTTTCAATGTCTCGATTGGCCTGCGGAATTTGACTATCTCGGAGAGTTCTTGCCCTGAGAACCCACCCGCGGCTACTGCATGGAACATGCCCTGTTCGAGCGGTAACCTCACCTCCCGTTTGAATCTGTTCTCCGAGTGGCGCGGCCAGCATAGTGACTCCAACGCGTATTGGACTCTCTTCAGTGACTGTCCGACCGGCAGCGAAGTCGGCGTGTCTTGGTTGGGACAGCTGTGCAATGCGGATGTGACTACTAGCGGCGACAACTCCGTCAGTGGTGCCAATGTCGTCGTCCGCTCCTCTGGCGGCGGTTGGCAAATTTTCGCCCATGAGACCGGCCACACATTCGGTGCGGTGCATGACTGCGATTCTGACACATGTTCGCAAAATCTCGAGTCCTCATCGCAATGCTGCCCGTTGACATCCAAGACATGTGATGCCAGCGGCAAGTATATCATGAACCCCACGACGGGGACTGACATTAGCTCGTTTTCAGAGTGCACGATCGGGAATATCTGCTCTGCAATTGGCCGTAACAGTGTCAAGTCGAGCTGTCTCTCGGCGAACCGCGGCGTCACCACCTATACAGGTAGTCAGTGCGGGAACGGAATTGTCGAGGCAGGCGAGGACTGTGATTGCGGTGGTGAAGCTGGCTGCGGCGACAACAAGTGCTGCAATCCCACTACATGCAAGTTTACGTCGGGATCCGTATGTGATGATTCTAACGACAGCTGCTGCTCGTCATGCCAATATGCTTCTGCGGGCACGGTTTGCCGGGCCAGCCGGAGCGAATGTGACTTGGCCGAGACATGCAGCGGCAACTCCAGCTCATGTCCTTCGGACTCGTACAAAGATGATGGCACCAGTTGTGGGAGTAGCGGATCTGGCCTGAAGTGTGCCAGTGGCCAATGCACCAGCCGCGACTATCAATGCCGCAGTGTGATGGGCAGCGTCCTACACGAGAACAACACGTACGCTTGCTCGGCATATAGCTCTTCGTGCGAGCTGATCTGCAGCTCCAACTCAATCTCATTCGGTGGTCAGTGCGTGGGATTCAACCAGAATTTCCTGGATGGAACTCCTTGTGGTAGTGGCGGCTACTGCAGCAACGGAGACTGCAAGGGACAAAATGTCAAATCGTGGATCAACGACCACAAAGCCATCGTAATTGGTGTCGCCTGTGCAGTGGGAGGCTTGTTGCTCCTTGGCCTGCTTTCCTGCTTGGTTCGTCGCTGTCGTCAACCACGCCCCATGGCTCGACCTGCGCCCCGACCTCCCTACGGGCCCTGGAACGGGCCTATGGCTCCGCCTCCGCCAATGAATCAATGGCCGAACAATGCCCCGGCTCAGGGATACCAGGGCTTGTCCTCGCCTCCGCCGCCGTATCCCGGACCTGGACCAGCCGGACCGCAATACCCGCAATATCCGCCCCAAGGGCGCTATGCATGATTTTGCTTTCTTTCTGCCACGCACGTAGAACGTGCATGTACACGAGCGCTGCATGATGAGCATTGTAGACTCATATTTGTGACACTTGCTTCTTTTCATATTGGGTTTGGGTGGTGTTCGGTGTCTGTCTTTGGTGTTTGTGTTTGTATGTGTGGCTATTTCATTTTCTATTGGGGGTGCATTTTATGTTCTGGGTATCATATTGTTTATTATTTTGACCGGCTTATCATCGTCATTGTACAGTCAGGCTCGTCAATAAATATGATTGCTTTATTATTCAGTTCGACTACCGGTTGCTGGCCGAACTTGTATGCCTTAGTAGGATGTAAGCTCAGTTCAACACGTTCATGCCGCTTGAGTTGGATATCTTTTGGACAACTAGCCAAGTGAAACAGCAATGAGAGTACAAGAGAAGTCGACAAACGAGGAAGATACAATCGGCGCCTGCCCAATGCCCAAAACGATAGTAAAAAGAAAATTTGAAAAAAAGACGTCAAGTAGCCTTTCAGCTCCGAGACCACATAACCAAACTATACAGGTGTATAGTTCCACCCACACCAACAACAACCAAGCGGTGACACAATCAGAAGTGCTCCCCTGAAGCCTGAACCCAAACCCATGATCCCAACAGGCAAGAAGCCTCACATGACCAACCAACCAACCTCTCGCCTCAAATATCCTAAACCTATCACTTCAACCCCCCCTTTACTTTAAGACTCACTCTCCCAGCCCCAAGAATTCGAGGGCTCACTGCCAACAAATACTCACAAACGCCTCCTTGGTGACACCGCCCACCCCCTCCAAATCAAACTCCTCGATCATCGCCCGCAGCTCCTCCTCCTCGAGCCCGGTCTCGCCCAGCTCCCGCGCCACGCGCCGCAGATCCTCCAGATCGATGTACCCCTTCCCCCCTTCGTCGAACAGCTCGAACGCCCGCAGGATCTCGTCGCGAGGATCCCGTTCCAGGATCTTGAGGGCGGTGACGGCCTGGAAGGCGCTGAGGGGCATGAGGAGGTTGGACGGGTGTTGGGGGTTGTTGTTGGTGGTGGTGGTGGATTTCTGGAGGGGTTGCGGGGGGTTCTGCGGGGTGGGGTGGTTTTGCGATTGGGCTTGGGCTTGTTGTTGCTGGACTTGGGGCCGGGGTACCCCGTAGGTCGTGAGTAAGGAGATGAGTTCTTGTTTCGGGAGGGAGAAGCCGAGTGCGCGGAAGGCGACGCGGAGTTCGTGGTAGTCCAGGTGGCGGTCGCGGTCGAGGTCGAAGAGCGTGAACTTTTTTTGGGGGGCGGGTGTTAGCATACGGGGTGGGTTTGTGATGGGTTTGGGATGGGTTTGGGCTTTGTGGGTACGGTACGTACAGCTTCATTGATCTCCTCACGCTGTTCCTCCGTTAATCGACTCAGCGGGTTCGTCGTGTCTTGGCCGTGGGCTTGCGAGTGCAGCGGCGGCGCCGGTGGCCCTCCGCTTTGCAGGTGGCTGTGCTGCGCGGCTGCGTGGCTCGCTTTGTTGCTGCTGCTGGGGTCGTTGCTGAAGTCCCCGGCTCCTCCTAGGCCTGCGCCGCCGGGGTTGGGAATGCCGCCGCCGCCGCTGGCGAGGCCGCGGTGGCGCGAGAATGAGGACGCGCTGAAGGGGAGGGCGTTGGCGGCGTTGAGGGACCGGTCGGGTAGTTTGCCGGCGGCGTAGGAGCGCGAGCCGAAGGGTTGGGTTGAGGAGGCCATTTTCTGGTGGTGGTGGTGGTGGTGTTGTTGTGAGGGACCCGGTGGGTGTGGTGGTTTGGTTTGGTTTGGTCGGGGTAGAGGGCGTGCGTTTAGGCGAGGTGGTTGAGCCTCATTGCCCGTGTCCGTGTGATTCTCGGGGGTTCGCAGTATTGTGTTACTTCTGTAGGGGTTGGGGTTTGGGTTTGGTTATTAGGATGTGCTGTGATGTGAGGGTGTTTAGGTGTTCAGGAGAATCAGGCCGCAAGAATGAATGAGAGTGTTGGAGGTGGTGGAGAAAACGCGCGGGCGATGGAGACGCGCAGCCAAGACGGGAACAAACATTAGCATTCAAGGTTAGATTGCCCAGTCGGTTGATTCCCTTCCTCAGTGTCGACTTGCTCTCCTACTCAATTACAACTATTTACTGCGTATTCAGGGCTTGGAATTTGGCGGCAGCTTCAGCTTTGGGTCATCAAGTCATCAATTCGCATGCAATTGTTTTCCTATCTGCCCTGATTTATGTTCTAGTGGGATTGTACATGTTTGATGTACGAGATGCTCACATGGCACGGTTCCTCTCACCTCATCAGATCTGGATCAACCTGAGTCCCCAAGTCCAGCTCCTCCAAGAATCTGCGTCCCTGAATCGGCTCCGGTAAATACTCCTGTACCACCTCCCCATCCGCATAATTAGGATTGTACTTGTACTCCTTCCCATACCCGAGCTCCTTCATCAACCGCGTCGGGGCATTCCGCAGGTGAATCGGAATTGGCAGCCCGGCGACTCCTGGCTCTGCCAGGGCCGCGAAAGCATTATTGAGGCCTCGGTATGATCGCGTACTCTTCTTCGACAGCGCCATTGCCACCGTCGCGTGTGCCAGATTGATCCGTGCCTCTGGGAGGCCGATTCGCTCCACAGCCGAGTGAGTGGAAATGGCGAGCGTGAGCATGCTATTGTCGGCCAGCCCGATGTCCTCCGATGCCACCACAATCAACCGTCGCGCGATGTACAGAGGGTCTTCTCCCGACTGAATCATACGCGCGAGATAGTAGAGCGCCGCATCCGGGTCGCTTCCTCGGATGGATTTGTGGAATGCGGAAATGGTGTCGTAGTGTTGGTCACCCGCACGGTCATACACCAGCGTCTTCGTCAGGGCCCGTTTGATCTCGTCCTTGGTGATCCCTGCACGCTTAGATAGATCCATCGCGAGCTCTAGGAGGTTCAGAGATGTTCGCGCGTCACCGTCGGAGAATCGTGCCAGATAATCAATCAACTCATCATCCACCAGCTCAGTAGGCGAGTAGCTGGGTCCTTCCACACGAAGCGCCCGCTGCAGGATTGATTTGATATCCTCATCCGTGAGCTTGGATAGCGTGAACGTGCGACATCGAGAGAGCAATGCGCTCTGCACTTTGAAGGATGGGTTTTCTGTGGTGGCGCCAATGAGCGTCACTTGGCCACTTTCCACCGGCCCCAAGAAGACATCCTGCTGCGACTTGGAGAAACGGTGGATCTCGTCGCAAAAGATGATGGTCTTTCGGCCGGTCAGGCCAAGCTCACTTCGGGCCTCGGCAAAGATCTTCTTGCACTCCGCAACCCCGCTGCTGGTACTGTTGATCTCCACGAAGCGACTACCCACCATGGACGCTATGACTCGCGCAATGGTCGTCTTGCCTGTGCCAGGCCCGCCCCAGAGGACCATACTGGGCACGCGATCCTGCTCAATGAGTCCCCGCAGCACCCCCGTTGGGCCCACCAGTTCCTGGCCGCAGACCTCGTCCAGGGTCCGCGGGCGCATACGCTCCGGCAACGGGGCTGCCTTCTGGAAAGCATTCATCTTGGGACGCTTGGGCTCCGACGGTAGGTCATTACGCTGTGGTTTATGGTTCGTCTCGACGGCGACCTCGGCCGCTAGCGGGGCTGTCCGCTTGCCATTGACATTGCGCAGCGGGGAGGAGTCCGTAATGGGTTCTCGTGATCCATTGCTCTGAGTAGAAGCCTTCCGGGCAGACGCTGGCTGGAAAAAGGACGGGACTGGGGCTTTTTGCGAGGAGGGGGTTTCTGCGCTGGAACTTGGCTCGTCGATAAAGTTCTGACAATCGGAATCGATATGATCGTTGATCTTCAAGCTGGGGACGGACTTGCTGCAGATGGGACACGATACCATTTTGATGAGCAAGCTGATGGATTTATAGAAGTTCGAGTGAGCTGCTTGATCGGACTGGCAGCGCGCTATCTGATAGACCAGCTACCGGGGATAGAGTCGACTACCATTGAAGCCATTGAGAAGATGCTTAACGCGTTCCCCACGCGTCGGCCGCGGCGGCGATAAGAGCCATCGGCTGACTAATCCTGTCAAGCTGCGATGACACATGTGACGCCCGGATGCCTGAATGCCTGAATGCCTAAGGTCGCGAGGAACTCCTGTGCGACACTACCAACAAGATTTATGCTCACCTCAACGCAATTGTTGGATTGAAACAAGACAATTGACCTTCATGACCTCTGCAGTAGTGTGCTATCTTGTAAAGACAACAGCTTATCAGTCCTCATTGCCAAGGCCAAGCACGCAATAACATCCGGTTCGACCCAAAGCGGAAAGCTTGAGTTTCCCCACCATCGCTTTCCATCCCCGGACTCCTCCTCCCTCTGCTCCCTCTTCTCCCTCAGTCCCGTCTCTTTTTCTTCTCTCTCCTCTTCCTCTCTCGCTCGCTGCACTCCTGACTGGTCCCCACTCAACTGCTTGCCTCTATGTTCCGTGGCTCACGTCTCTTTTCCTCTACTACAATTGTCCAGGTCCAGCCCTCCACATCTTCGCTGCGCACTTCTGCCTTCCCCTCCGCACTCCCCCGCTATCCAGCTTGCACACGTCCAATGTCGGCCACTGCGGCTCGTCCCGACCCATTTCGCCCGGCTAAGAGGGTCGCTGGTCAGAAACAGGATGTTTGGTACGAAGCATACCTAAAAACCTGTTGTGCTGCGGCCTGGATTGCTGACCGACGCGCAGGTCCATTGTCAATGAGGCTGCTGCCGCTTCGCCCGTTCAGCCCATCGTGAACATGGGTCAGGGTTTCTTGTGAGTAACCGACTGCTGAAAGCTCCTGGAGTAGAGAACTACTGACGCTATCTTTTTAGTGGCTACAACCCTCCCAAGTTTGCTCTCGATGCTGCCAAGGAAGCTCTCGACCGCGTTGAATGCAACCAATACTCCCCGACCAAGGTACATTCCTCCACCAAGACAACACAGCGCATAGCCGCATAGACTCACACCCCTTCAGGGACGTCCTCGTCTCAAGCAAGCCCTGGCGGATGCTTACTCCCCCTCATTTGGTCGCACCATCAACCCGGACACCGAGGTGGTCGTTACCACGGGAGCCAATGAAGGTGGGATTGCCTGGAACAGGCGAGGAAGTTCGCGCAGCTGACCGAATACAAGGTATGCTGAGCGCTTTTATGGGATTCATCGAGCCCGGCGACGAGGTTATTGTCTTCGAGCCGTTCTTCGACCAGTAGGTTGCACGGTCTTTCCCCTCTGCTACCCGTCTGACGCCGCCCAAAGATACATTAGTAACATCGAAATGCCCGGTGGTACAATCCGCTACGTCCCGCTTCATCCCCCCAAAGATGGCGCTACACGCACCTCCTCCGCGGCTGAGTGGTCCATTGACTTCGAGGAGCTGGAGAACACGATCAACTCGAAGACGAAGATGATTGTAAGGCACTTGGACTCTTCTGCAAATCGTACTCGACTGACTCAACCTCGCTAGGTTCTGAACTCGCCGTAAGTGCTTGCATTCCAGCTTGGTATGGAGTGAATCAGGCCTGACGTCTATCAGTCATAACCCCGTCGGCAAGGTCTTTTCCCGCGCTGAACTCGAGCGCATTGGTGAGCTTTGTGTGAAACACAACCTGATCATTCTCTCCGACGAAGTCTACGACCGTCTCTACTACGTTCCCTTCACCCGCATTGCTACCTTGTCCCCGGAGCTATATGAGCGTACTCTCACCGTGGGCTCGGCTGGCAAGGCTTTCTATGCCACCGGTTGGCGTGTGGGTTACCTCATCGGACCCGAGCACCTGATCAAGTATGTCTCCGGCGCCCACACTCGTATCTGCTACAGCAGTGTTTCGCCTCTCCAAGAAGCTGCCGCGGTGGCTTTCGAGCAGGCAGACAAGGTCGGCTTTTGGGACGAGAGTAGGAAGGAGATGAAGGGAAAGATGGAGCGTTTCTGCCAGATCTTTGACGAACTCAACATTCCGGTAAGTGACGACGTCGTGCATTATCCAAGAACTCTACCAACTGGGTTATATAGTACTCGGATCCTGAGGGCGGATACTTCGTCCTCGCAAACATGGCCTCTGTGAAATTGCCTGAGGATTACCCATTCCCTCCCCATGTGGCCAGCCGGCCTCGCGACTTCAAGCTCTGCTGGTTCCTCATCCACGAGGTGGGAGTTGCAGCTATTCCTCCCACCGAGTTCTACACGGATGCCAATGCCCACATTGCTGAGGATTACCTCCGCTTTGCCGTTTGCAAGAATGACGATGTGCTCGAAACGGCTAAAGAGAGACTACGTGGCTTGAAAAAGTACATCAAGCAGTGATTTAGACTGCATGACCCTTGATCGTATAGATGTGCATCGATGTTTGGTAAACACTGGTTGCAACAACGGACTTACGAGAATATAGACTTCATGTGTCGGAGGCTGGACTGAGCACAATTGAATAGATTTGCAATTTGCTATCTGTATTGTTACATGACATTATCTCCATCCTGCCGGAGCACTAACAAGTGAAAAGCAACCTCCGCTTCATACTTCGTTTACCTTGCCTTGATATTACCCAGAGCAAACATAGATGAGAAGTTAACACCCTCAACCGTAACAGGACGTACCAGGAAACCCAACACGACAACGCAGAGCCTAGGAGCCGGGATCAAACAATGTTGACATGAACGTCAATCATGCTTCTTCAGGACCCTCATTCATACCTTCGATCTCCATGTTGCCGGTACCGGCGCCATCCCAGCCATCACCGCGTCGAAAGACCCTCTGATCCTCCTCCGCCACGCCCTCGAAGCCTTCACCGAGCATGCGCTTCTTCGGGTCTTTGACTGTGGGATGAGTGGTTCTGGCGGCGCGGAGAATCCAGTAAGTCGATTCCATATTCCTCACAACTTCACGTAGACCGCCTCCGCCCAAGGAACCCAGGAGCCGACGATACTCGGACCGGCACACCTGATCCGGACAGTTGCGGCGGTTGCGGCCGTCCCAATCAGTGGCGCATGCGTGGCGCTCTCCCGTGATGTACTGCTGGATGGACACGTTCGTCTCCGCATGGATCTGGTAGCGTAGCGCGGCCTCAAGCTGCTTGGATGCGTTCGCGGCGCGGAGTTGATCACGAATGAGGCGGTACATGTAGTCAATCAACGCATGAACCTCAACCGTCGCTATCAGAAAGAAGAGAGTTCTGTCAGCCCAGATTTCACTTCAACCAACTCACCATGACTCTAGGGAATATTTGTATTAAAGAACATACCGAACAAACAAATCGCCAGCACACGCCGGAACCGATCCTTCTCCTCGGGATCCTCGAAGCGCACGGTATACACCACGCGCTTGGCGCAGCGCACCGCGGTCGTGTTCTCGGGGAACCCGGCGCGCACGTAGTCGGCCCAGTCGGCGAAGATGAAGTAGTCGCCCTGGCGCTCGTTCATGCGGAAGTACACCGCCTGGCGGTGGCGCTCGGGCATGTCGTAGTTGTGCAGGCAGGGGATCAGGGGCGGACCTTCGCGGACGTCGCGCGGGATCGTGCTCTCGCGGCAGGGGTGCACGAAGACCTGGTCGCCGCACACGGGCCAGTGCGTCTTGATGCCCTGCAGCAGGTGGTCGCGGCAGCAGTAGCGGGTCTCGGAGAAGGGGCCACACCCCGGGCAGATCACGGTGACGCCATCCCAGGAGTTGCAGCGCTTGAGGCAGTTGCGCAGCGCGCAGGGGAAGCCGTGGCTGTCGAGTTGCCAGAAGAATCCCTCGGGCTTCTGGCTGGAGAGCGTGCCGCCCCGGACGTTGGAGATCTGTTGGTAATGGGTGGTGCTTGTGCTTGTGCTTGTGGTGCTCGCGGTGGGGCTGAGCAGGGCTCTCGATGTGGATGTGACTGTCGTCGGGGGAGGCGGGGAGGGGTGCGCGTGGCTGCTACTGGCGACCTGGGGGTGGGTCGCTGGTGGTGGGAGTGGAAGTGTTGGTCTCTTGGCGCTGGACTGCGTTGTGGTGGTAGTATTGTTGCCCCTGGCCTTTGGCTGGGTGCCGGTTGTCTTGGTGGTGGATGGCTCAGAGGTCACGGCGGTCTGGGGCGTGGTCTGAAGAGCATGCTGGCTGGCTGTCCACGCGGTAGAGGTCGTGCTGGTGGACTTGGGAGTCAGATCGTGCGCATCACCTCCTTCCTTTGCCTCCTGAGTACCGGATTTATCGGTATCACCTTGACCCGCTTTGCCTTCCTGCTGGCCTTCGGCGGTGGCTTCCTGGATGGGGGTGAGCCCAGTTCGAGTGGTGACAGTGTTGTTCTGAGGCGTGGTTGGCGCAGGATCCCTCGAATACGGAGGTGGAGAACCGGCTTCCTTGCCCGAGCCCTTCGCGAGAGTCGACTCTTCCCCGTCGGTCTTGGTAGGCACCTCGGACCTTGCAGCCCCAGGCCGGCCACGGCAGGGCGCCACGGTGATGCTCGCGATTTTCGCACTGGCCAACAAGGGACTCGGGCAGGACTGACCGGGTGGCGTCTCGATTCTCAGCAGCCCCTCTATCGGCTCGACGAACTCGGACGGGTTTCGCTGTATGGCTTGTAGCCTGTCGATGGCCGCCTGGATGGCTACTATCTTGGCAGCAGTCTCTGGATCGTGAATCCTGTCGCCTTGATCCTGAGAAGCAGCAGCGGTAGTATCCGGATGGACTCTGAGATTCCGACTGCCTCTACTCTGAGCAACAGCGGCGGCAGCAGCAACGGCAGCACTCAGCTTGATGTCCGACTTGTTGATTCTGCTCGTGTTGCTGGCGAGCTCAGGTAGTTTATTCCAAGTTGCTGGTGCTTTGACCTCGTGGCGGCTGCTGCTGCTGCTGCTGCTACCGTTGTTGCTGCTGCCCTTGTTGGTCTCTGCTCCTTTCGCTGATAGCTCGTGCTCGTTGACAGACTTGGTCAGGGCGGTCGTCGCGTTCGAGCCTTCGCTCTGTCCGCTGGTGGATAGGTTGCTCGATTCGGCAGCTCCTGTGCCCGCTCCTCCATCACCACCACCACCACCACTACCACTACCTCCTGCTGCCGCACGGTTTGCCTTCTTTCTGTTCTTCTTGGCCTTGTTCTTCTTGGCCTTCTTGGATGACTTGGTAGGCTCCATCTTTGGGGTGGGTGCGGTTGGCTGGGGTCGCTGGGGGGAGTGGTCTTTAGATGGGCTTTGTTCTGGCTCGGATGGCTGGGTGGGGAGAGATGAGGAGGCTGGAAGAGGTGGACTTTGTGGCTGTGGATGTTCGGAAGGTTTGTCTTCAGATGTCGAAGGGTCAGTCGAGTCAGCTGGTTTCTCTTCGGATTTTGAAGGGAGAGGTGAGCTCGATGGTTTTCCAGAGGTGGTTTCTTTGGGTGGTAAAGGGGTAGTTGAGCTGATTGATTGTTCACAAGGTTTGCCTTCAGGTTTTGGGGGGGTGGGTGAGCTCAATGGTTTTTCAGATGAGGTATCTTTGGGAGGCGAAGGGATAGTTGAGCCGACTAGTTTGTCTTCAGTCTTCGAAGGAACAGGTAAGCTCAAAGGCTGTTCAGAAGGCTTATCATCAGAGCTTGAAAAAACAGGTGGACTCAAAGTCTGTTCAGAAGGCTCGTCTTCGGAGACTGAAGGGACAGGTGAGCTCAATGTCTGCTCAGATGTCTGAACCTTACATGGAGATGCACGGGCTGGCAAGCTCGAGTGTTTGTTCTCGGGTGTTGAAGGTCTAGCCGTGGCCACTGGCGCCTCAGAAGATTTACTCTCAGATGTTATGGGAGCCGACACGCCCAAAGGCTCTTCACAATCCTTATCCTGTGATGATATGGCAGGCGAGCTCACTGGATGCTCACTGGATATACCCACAGATGCTGCAGGAGCGAGCTCGCTCAGGGGCTCCGCAGAAGGTTGTTCCTTGGGAGACGATGAGACAGGTGGACTCAGTATGTGATCAGAAGATTTGTCCTCAGATCCTGGAGAAAGAGGTGAGGTCGCTGGCTGCTCGGATGGTAGAGCCTGTGGGGAGGTTAGAAGAGAAGAGACGAATAATTGTTCAGAAGGTCAAACCTTGGGAGATGATGCAACAGACAGGCTGGCTGACTGCTCAAAAGCTGGGTTCTCGGTTGAAGAGTAGGTAGGAGGGAGATGAGATGAATCAACTGCGTTAACTGGTGTAGTATCAAGCACCGTCACAACAGGTGTCGAAGGGGTCTGCGTCGGGGTCGGGCTTGAAGTGGGAGTCGAACGAGTGGCTGTTCTCGCGCGGAGCAAGTCTATCGCCTCAGCGCGAGATCTCCTGTCTACTGAGACATCTTCTTGACTGCCTGTAGGTTGTCCAACGGACTCCATTAGTCTGGCTGGACGACCCATCGTACTGGGTATGGATGAAAGTAGAGGTGAGAGGGGCATGGAGGGATGGAGTGATGGTTGTGTAGGGGAAGAACGTACTGGCACCACTGCTTTCGAAACCAGAGATATCGTTGTCAAAGGCGGTGTTGCTTTCGTCACATCCCGCTGTGTTGTTATCTTTCTGATCTGTGTTGTGGTGAATGGTTGTCTGTTCGATCGACTTGGTGATCCCGTGACCTGGCGGTTCGGTTGACGGATTCTGGCTGAGAGACTCCACGGCCTGTAACCAACTGACTGACCGGCTCTCCAGTGCGTGGTCAAGCTCGGCCAGGAAGCTGGAGGACGCGGCTTTCTCGTCTGAGCCTGCTGCTGCTACTGCTCTCTGCTTGTTGCCTCGAGGACTCTGTGCCATCTTGACATCACATTGGGTCTGCACGATCTGAAAGAGCAAGGATAAGTGAAGCGGATCAGGTGCGCAATCTGCTTGGTGAGCTTTTCTCTCTTTTCGGCTTCGCCGTTGACTTCTGTCCTTTGTCAGTGCTAATATGTCTGGTAGATCCAAGTGTGCTGATATACCGGTATTGTTGCTTCAGCTCACACCGCAGTTGACCAGTTCGATGTATTTGTTCTTGGTGGCTTGGTGACCGACGGCTTTGATGGACTGACGCACGAGAGAAAGAAGGACGCCGTTGCTCAGGACCCTTTTTCATTTATTCACTGCAATACCATGCGGGTCCCTTACGGGGCTGCCATGAGCCCTGCCATCCTGCGTTCATAATTCACTACACTACAAGATACTACTGAAATACGCTGCTAAATTATGGCTTGATTGTGTGTCCAAGAGGATTCTGAGCTTAATTACGAGGACTGTGTTTGTTAACAGTCTTTATTCGGAATGTCTTAAGACTAAGCGATGTACTCAATGCAAGCATAACTCCTTTATATCGAAGCCGATTCCGTGGCAGTAGCTATCTCCTTGAAGATGACATCGAATGAGTCCATGTGTCCACGGTTTACATTCTAGCAAATCAAGTACGACGCGCATAAGTAAGATCATGCCTATCAGCAAGAGAAGAAAAGACAAACTCCTGATGCAGTTTGAAGCACGCAGTGAAGAGCCCGCCATCACGTGCCGCTAGTCTTGTCTCTGTTTCTGTCGCAGGCTGATTCCCGGTCTCTGGCAACTACCTACACTTCTATGACAAGCAAAGACTTAGACCATCATCTGAGTCATCGACCAAGACAGTTATCAATGCCTGAGTACTCAATATCCTAAGTATCCAGTTTCAAGGTGCTCAGTCTCAGATGCCTCTAGGGATAGTCAAATGACAGAAAACCCCCCGTTGCCTGCTGCCTACAACACCACAGCCCAGGAAGCGCCGTCTCGGTTCAACACTCAACACCAAACAACCCCAGATAGAAAAGACCATTAACACGATGGCATGGCTAATTTAGTCTTTCGATCGCTGTGGGGCTCCGGGTCGATTCTCCTTCAAGACTGATCAAAATGAGTGGCTCAGAGCCCTTGCGCTGGGCTGAAGTGCTAAGCGCCGTTACTATCTTCGGCCGGGCCACTGCTGCAGAAACCCATCAGATCATCAAGTCTATCTTCTTGTCTGCACGGGAACGATCTCTGCGCCAGATGAAACCAAGCTACCTAAAGAAAGAAGGGAAAAGATTTCGAAATTAGCTGCTCACCCCCATCAGGTCTTTGGTCTTTGTTGCGATCTCCGTACCGCTGTCCTGAGTGGTAGCCAGCCTCCTTTGGCGCGGCGATGGAGCCCCAAACAATCATGACTTACTATCTTTGTCTCACTTTTGCAGCGGCCATGAATGTGTTTATCCCGCAGAGCTCTCCTGGTGGAAAGCAAAGACCCATATATTATACAATGACTGCCCGCCTGGTTCCCCCTGTTTGGGTCTCCATTGTTTTGCACTCCCTTGAATGATGGACTTTTTCTTGTGTTAATCCCTCCTATTGACACTGCATTCTCTGGGTCTCTTCTTAAATGATACGATAATTCCCTTTGTTTAACCTTTACCACGACATACTAGACACTGCATCATAGACTTGCTTGTGGAGTTTTGAGATAACTCGCTGAGGGTTATCTTATTCTTACTTTCTTACTGTTCTCTGTTATTCTCATTCCCCTTCGGTGCATACTAGACTTGCTTGGGACTCCATTGGCAGCCATACTCTGTGTCTGCAGTCAAACGAGCACTTTCGGCGAGACTCGCAGTCGATCGCCATTATGGGGATCTTCGGACCTGCACGAAACATATTCCCCCTACTGCCACCTTACGGCGCCCATGATCATACTGGAGGCTCTGGTCGGATCATCCCACTTCACCCGGACGGCATCACACCCTACCTGGGGCTGCGCGCCCGCTTGTCACAGTCATGGATCAACCGATGGACCATCTTGCTGCTCTTAGTTTTGGTCAGAGTCCTGATGGCCGTGTCGAGCATAGAGAGCGACATGGCCAAGGCCAAGAGTGAAGCACTATCGGCATGTACATCCGTGGAAACCATGGGCAGCACGATGGCCTCCATGCCGCATTATCTAGCACAGGGGGTCAACGAGGTGGCGGTGAAGACGGTCAACGCGGCCATCGACGGGCTGGAAAGCGTGCTGACGCTGTCGCTAACGGCCGTGGAAGAGCTGGTCATTTTCTTCATCAAGGTCATGTATCAGACCTATCTCTGCCTGTTCACGCTGGTCGTGCGCGGCGCTGTCGAGATCGGAGTCAGCGTCCTGGAAGACGCCGCCGATTTCCTCAACTCAACGATCAAGACCGTTGGCGAAGACATCGGCAAGACCGTCGACACGTTCGAGGACACGCTGAACAGCTTCCTCGAAAAGGTCAACACCGTCCTCAGTGCAGTCGGCACGAGCGTCCCGACCCTGAACCTCACAGACTCCATTAACAGCCTCGAAAACGCCCACCTCCCTTCGTCCATCGACGCCAGTCTCGACAAGCTGAACAGCTCGATCCCCACCTTCGACGAAGTCAGCAACTTCACCGAGAACGTGCTTCGCTTCCCATTCGAGGAGGTCAAGAAGCTGGTCAATGGCTCCCTCGGGAACTACAGCTTCAACGCGTCGGCGCTCTCGGTGCCGGCGAAGAAGAAACTCACCTTCTGCGACTCGAACGACGGCATCAACTCCTTCTTCGAGGGCGCCACCGATGCCGCGCTCACGGCGCGGAAGATTTTCATCGCCATCCTCGTCATCGCCGCCATCCTGGCCTGCGTCCCCATGGCGTGGCAGGAGATCCGGCGCTGGCGGCACATGAAGGAACGCTCGCAGCTGGTGCGCAAGGAGGCCCACGACCCGATGGACGTGGTGTACATCGTGTCGCGGCCGTACACGGCGGCGGCGGGGATCAAAGCGGCCAGCCGGTTCAGCAACAGCCGCGCGCAGATCCTGGTGCGGTGGACGATCGCGTACGCGACGACGCCCGCGGCGCTGTTCGTGCTGTGCCTGGCGCTGGCGGGGCTCCTCTCGTGCCTGTGCCAGTACGTGCTCCTGTCCGCCGTCAAGCGGACCGTGCCCGAGCTCTCCGAGGAAGTGGGTCAGTTCGCCGACAAGGTCGTGGCGGCGCTGGCCAACAGCTCGGCGGAGTGGGCCAACGACACCAACACGGCGATCCTGCACGTCGACTCGCAGATCAACACCAACGTGCTGGGGTGGGTCAACACCAGCACCACCGCGCTGAACGACACGCTCAACACCTTCGTCGACAAGACCATCGACGTGCTGAATGGCACCTTCGGCGACACCATCCTCTACGACCCGCTCCTCGAGGTGTTCAACTGTCTGATCGGCCTGAAGGTCGCCAGCGTCCAGAAGGGCCTCACCTGGGTCCACGACCACGCCCACGTCGACTTCCCCCTGTTCCCGGAGGACGTCTTCTCCCGCGGCGCCGCCGCCTCCATCAACGGCACTGCCTCCGATGACGACAGCTTCCTCGCCGAGGCCGGCGACAAGACCTCCAACAAGATCACCGAGGTCGTCGACAAGGTCATCGCCGCCTTCGAGAAGGGCCTCCGCCTCGAGACCATCATCGCCGCCTTCATCCTCCTGGTCTGGGTCGTCAACGCCCTCTTCGGCGTCACCCGCGCCTTGATTTTATTCGCCAAGAAGGACAAGACCCGCGGCGAGGGCGGGCCCGCCCCCGTCTCCTCCCGGCCGGATCCCGGCCTCGGTCCCGGTGATGCAGGGTTCATCGATGTGCCCCTGACCAGCATGCCGCGACAGCATCAGCAGCGCTTCGATCTGGATGTCAGTGATGATGACGCCGCTGCTGCTGCGCCGCGGTACGAGGTCGCGACGCAGACGGGGAGGGGACCCGCCACCACCATGAGTACCACAACCGCATCGACTAATACCACAACAACAACTGCAGGTCTAGGGGTGTACCCGGATGAGAAGGTCGGGTTCGCGGGCCAGAGGAACGCCTTACGTGTGGACGGGGTGTCGGATCTGCGGGGCAGCAGTTACGTGGAGTATGGGATGGAGAAGCATTGAACAACTCCTTTCTCCACTTCCTTTCGAAATCCACTTCTTCTCGCTCCGTGAGGGCGGGACGAGGTGGTAGTCCAGTTGCTGAGCCTTTTCTTTTTCTTCTTTTCTTCTTTGTGTCTTGTCTACAGTTTTCCGGCGGGTGATTTCTCCACTTCCAGCGCTGCCCGTCTCCTTACCTCTCGTTTTAGGCTTCGCGTGATATACCCGTAGAACGTGGCTACGATAGTGTATTCTACATTGCATGATCCAAAGATTTTCGAAATGATGCATTGATGAGTGAATAGATTGCTACATGCCGGTATGTGCGTGTCGTCAGATTCATGAAATATTACCCCCCACCGCCTCCAAAAAGCCCACACCCAATTGCGAGGCTCCAACTAGATAGCCACAAAGAAGCTCTTCTCGCCCGGCTGCGGCACCACGCGCGCCCTCTCGATGATCGGATCCGCACAGCTCACGCGGATCCGCTCGGGGGTCGCCGGACTCTCCAATCGAAGGACGGTCTGGACGTTCCACTGGCGGCGGGCGGCCTTGAGGGCGTCGCGGATGGCGAAGAAGACGGCGCTGCCCATGAACAAGGGGGGTTCGCCGACACCGCGGGAACGCTGGATGGTGCGTAGGTTCTCCCACTCGACGTCCTTGAGGAGGCTGACGTTGAACACCTGGGGGATGTCCCGGAAGCCCGGGATCTTGTAGTTGCCGGGGCCGCGGGTGAAGATCTGGCCCGAGGCGCGGTGCCACAGGCTCTCCTCGGTGGTGAACAGGCCCTGGCCCTGGATGAAGGCGCCCTCGATCTGGCCGTAGTCGATGGCCGGGTTGATGGTGCGGCCGACGTCCATCTTGATGTCGGCGCGCAGCGGGGTCCAGTCGCCCGTCAGGGTGTCGAGCTGCACCTCGGCGGCGGTGACGCCCTGCGTGAAGTAGAAGAACATCTGGCCCGTGTTCTGGCCCCAGACGTAGCCGATGTCCGGGGTGCGGTAGTAGCCCTGCGCCGAGAGGTTGACGCGGTCGAAGTACGCGGCGTGCGCGAGCTCCTTCATCGTCGCCCCGGGCATGTTCGCGCGGTAGGGCCGGAGGCGCTCGTTGAGCTGCTCGCACGCGTTGAAGATGGCGTAGCCGTTCAGGTCCGAGCTCGCCGAGGCGGCCGTCGACGAGGTGTTGGCCACCGTGTTGGTCGCGGTCTCGGAGATGAAGACGCTGGATTGCGGCACGCCCAGCGCTTCGGCCGCAATCATCGTCATCTTCGTGTGCAGACCCTGGCCCATCTCCACGCCGCCGTGGGCGACGAGTACGCTGCCGTCGTGGTAGATGTGGACCAGAGCGCCGGCCTGGTTCAGGAATAGTGCCGTGAAGGAGATACCGAACTTGGTGGGGATGATCGCCATTCCGCGCTTCGACCATTTGTGTTCCTTGTTGTACTTCGTCACGGCCTTTCGACGTTCGGCGTAAGAGCTCTCCTCGAGTACCTGGTTGTACATTAACGGCACGTGCCAGTCTTTGAGCTCTTGGTTATAGTGTGTCTTGTCGCCGGATTTGTACATGTTTTGGAGCCGGAAATCTTCCACGGGGATGTTCAGGTGATCCGCAACCTCTTCCATGATGCTCTCAGCGAAGAACATGCCCTGCGGACCACCGAAACCGCGGAATGCGGTATTTGAGACGGTGTTGGTCTTGCAAATGTGGCCCCGAACGTAGACATTCGGGAAACGGTATACACCGTCGATGTGTGAAAGACTTCTCTCCACGACTGCGCCGGAGAGATCTTGTGTGTGGCCGCCGTTGGCGTAGACATCCGCGTCAAGGGCGAGGAGTTTGCCCTCTCCGTCAACGGCTACCTTCCAGCGACAGTAGAAGGGATGGCGTTGACCCGAGGTGATGATGTCTTCATCGCGGTTTAGCATGCACCGTACTGGGCGCTTCAGCTTCGCAGCAGCCGTCGCGCAGATACCGGCCAGCTGGATTGATCGGGTTTCCTTTCCACCGAAGCCGCCACCGAGACGCTTCACCCGAGACACAATCTTATTGGCTGATACCCCCGTAACTTGGGCGACATATGTTTGTCTGCAGCAGCATCAGCATCGGGTCTGGAAGAAATAACAACGCAGCAAGACTTACGTTTCCGTCGGATTTTGGGTCCCACTCCAGACCTCCATCTCTCCATCTTCGTTCTTGGGTATGGCGACGCAAGCCTGCGTCTCCAGGTAGAAATGCTCCTGTCCGCCCATCTTCGATTCGCCCGTAAATACGTGAGCTGCCTTCTCAAAGGCGCTCTCAACATCGCCAGTCTGGATGTAACGGTAATGTTCGAAAAATGATTCCGCCTCGATGGCCTCTTCGATCGAAAGGATCACTGGCAGATCCTCGTATTTCACTTTGACGGCCCGAGCAGCCTCCTCCGCAATTTTAGCGGATGTCGCTAGAACCATACCAATTGGCTGACCAGCAGTATTAACCTCGTCGACAGCGAAGAAAAGCTCATCGGCATTTGGTGCTCCCCAGAAGTTGGCTTCTGGATTTGGGAGATCTGTGTGGTCCACGTAGTCAACAACCCCAGGAATATCCAGGGCCTCGGTTGGATCAACATCGAGGAGCTTGGCGTGCGCCTTGGTTGACAGCACCATGCAACCATACAACTCATTCTGATATGTTGGAATGTCATCGGTATACTGGGCCTCTCCCGTGGCTTGTTTGAGTGCAGAGAAATGGGGACCGGCTTTTCCAAGAATCTTCTGTTGATACGCCGCGGAAGCTTCGTGATCCTTTTCTCCCGTGGAAATGGCCCGCTCAATCTCAGCGATGACGTCCTCGTCAATATCCGCACTCTTGACTTCAATCTTGGATAAGACATCATGATAGTATCGATAGAAGAAACCCAGGGCAAGAGACTTGCGGTAAGTGGCCATTCCACCAGGAACCCCAAACTTCAGGTCAAAGTCCTGTTCCAGAGCGGCCATTGTACCCTCCAGTGTCGCAGGATTTGGAAATTTCTTGCCAACCAGAAACGCTTCCGCGTTTCGTGCCGAGACAGTCATCGGTGCGAGACCACCAAAGACAAGATTCACACTCTTGACGGTGTGTGACTCCGAAAGGGAGACACGTAAAGCTGCATTGACAATGGCAATATCGTCATCCTTTCGCTTGGATTGTTTATAGGCCCTTATGTATTCTCCCTCCTCAGCCGCGACTGGAATCCGCAACGCAGCGATAATGGCATCTTGAGGAAGAGCGGTAGTTCGGTAGCCTTTGAAAAATTGATCCATGGGTATCTCAATGGTCTGGCCTAGTGATTTGGCGATGAGGGTAGTTCTCGTAGCAACAAATACTGGATTGAGATCGGAGATTGGTGAAGCAGTAGCCAAGTTACCTGCAGGAGAAGCAACATTCCTGATCTGTCGTCCAGCAAAGTAACGAAGTTGCTTCTTGATGGCGTTGAATGGCTGCCCGCGCACAGTTCCGTATCGATCAAGCGCTTCGTCACAGATTCTCTCGAGGTCGGTCAGGGAAACATTGGCACCAAGCTCGAGACAGTCGTCCCGCAGTGTATACTGCCGCAGATCCTGTATGTCGCCGACATAAACGGAGGCACTGTATTTCATAGCCTTGAACTTAATCTCGATCTGCGTCTCCGTGCTACCGCCGATAATCTTAGCGTCGGGATGCAGCGCCTTAATTTCCAGGAGCTGCTCCAGTGTAACTGGCCGGTACCACTTCTTCTTTTTGTTTCCCAGTGCCAAAGCTCGGAACTGATGCTTTCGAAGAGGAGGTGGGAAGATGAGCTCCGTGTCTGGCCGATAGTCGATGAACTCGGGTGGCGTGAAGGTCTGTATTTTCTCGTCCTTGACCGAGGCGGCAGGCGTTTCCTTGCAACACCCTCCCGAGTCGCCTTTCTTCTCCATACAGCACCCTGATCCTCCGTTTGCAGAAGACATTCCGCAGCCTTTTGGTGCAGAAAAGCTTTGAGCTGCATCCAAGATCGGTCTGTACCCGGTGCATCGACAAAGATTTCCATCGAAAGCCTCTTCCACGTCATGCTCCGATGGCTCGGAGTTGTTGCGCAAAAGGGCATAAAGACTCTATATCCAACGTTTTAGCTCATGATCCATCAATCTCATATCGAAGTGCCGCACCATCACGATTCCAGGAGTGCAAAACCCACACTGGCTACCATTACCAACCGCTAGCCGTTGCTGGATCGCATGAGGATTCTTCACGTCGCCGATCCCCTCCACAGTGACAACATGCTTTCCATCCACACTAATCAACGGGGCAAGACAAGCATTCACGGATGCATGATATAGCTTTTTCGTGGTGGGGTTGATATGGGAAACCACCTAACGTTGAAATGAATGAACTTAGCAATGACCAGATCCAAGGGCTCCTTCAGAAGACATACCACCGTACAGGCACCACAGCCACCCTCTGCACATCCTAGCTTTGTGCCCGTCAGGCCGATCCCACGGAGATACTCTAATAACGTGGTTTCGGGGTTGATCGAGTCGAGGACAACCTTGGTGCCGTTGAGGTAGAACCGAATAGTGTCGTCCCAATCTTCGGTAAGCTGAGCCAGCGAGACGGCCTTGGATGGCACCGTCGGTGGTGATGAACTCAGAACTCCAGGAGCCATCTTGCTGTGTTGGCTGTGGTGGACTCCGAACAAATGTGTCTATGCGACGATTTTGCTAGAGGGTGGAGAAACCGCCACTCGGAACCAGCGTTGATGCGGGGTAACTAACTCAACGCTGGCATGAAGTAGGAGTAGAAGTTGTGGAATAGTGTCGAGAGAGGAAGGAACCAAGATGGAGGAGAGGGGTGTAGCATACAGGAATCGTACAATATAGTAGAAAGGAGTAAGTTAATGATCAATGATGTGAGAGGCAGTTAGTTAGTTAGTAATAGCTGTTGTATGAAGAGATGATGGGGTCTTATCGGGGTAAGGGGGAAGGAGGGGGGCGAATTCCCCACTCGGTTTATCGCTTTTATCGCTTTTCCCCGGCGATCGCCACTGTCCGATGGGCGGCAACCGTCGGCAGTATTGCCCATCCAACCGGCACAAGTTTGGGTTTCGAACCTTGATCCAATACTGTAATAATATGGCGAAGCCTTCTTAACAGCTATCCAATAGTCTTGTTGATTTGACTTATGTATTCATAATTAAATATGATAAAAGATCTATGGAAATACTGCTTTACAGACTATTACTTTGTCTTCTAACTACTTTCTGGAACTAAGAAGTAGTAGCTAGTTAGAGATAAAGCGCTGACTCATTCGACTGCCCTTCATCAAATATGATCTCATCTCAAATCTTCTACGGAGTAAGAGCGTGGTAAACTTGATTTCTACTGCTCGGGGCTCAAGCTCACCGACGGAATGCAGTGCTGCATAAGCTAGGCCTAAATTAGTTACTGATGATGGTCGACCGTACTCATAGAAACCCAACCTGACTAACTTTTTAGGGTAGCAATGAACGTGCCGGTCTAGTGACTTAGGGCACATCCTAACTATGAGTCAAAATAACTTCTATCATTTCTATGTCTAATTGTCTATCGATGTCTACAACATAGCATCGCTCCAATACTCTTTCTTGAACAAAAAAACACCCAAATAAACAAGACACTGCTCTCCAAATACACACACTCAGTACGTCATGAAGCCCCTGAAGTACTCGGCAACACCCTCTACATCATCCAAGTGAGTCGCGAAGCCCAGGATGCCGTCCGGGCGCACCACCACCAGACCGCCATTATAGTCGGAGATGGTGTAGGCGGTATGAGCGGACCGTTCCGCGTCGTAGTACAGCTTGCCCGCTCTCGGAGTCTCGAAGACATGGTCACCTCCGCTGCAAGCCTGCGAGACCAGGGTCAAGAGACGAACGGCCCCAGGGGGCAATGCCACGCGAAGCTTGCCCAGATCCTCCACGGCCGTCTTCAGGGTCGCCTTCGTCCTTTCCGGCTGTCCAGCGAAGACCAGGATGGACCAGACGCCGGTGTTCTTGGTCAGATGGAAGAGACGGGTGGGCAGGCGCGAGCCGGGGGCATAGACCAGAGCGTCGGGAGCTCTCCAGCCCGCATTATTCATAGTCGCTGAAGGGGGCTTGTTGATCAGGTTCTCGTCGTAGTGGATCCCGAGGCCGATGTTGAAGTGGATAGTCTCATCGAAGAGCTTGGTGAACAGCTCGTTGGCGTCTATGCAGTGCCCTTTGTACTTGTCCGGAACTTGGCCGGAGATGGTCGCCGAGAAAGCTTTATCGAGCTCAATCAGGTACTGTGCGGCCGGACGACGCTCCGTGTCGTAGCTCTGCAGCATGTCGGCGCCGTACCAGCCCCTGACAACGCCGGCCAGTTTCCAGGACAAGTTCACGGCGTCATGAATACCCGTGTTCATACCCTGAGCAGCACCGGACGAGTGCGTGTGGCACGCGTCGCCGGCCAGCAAGACTCGATCGTTGTTGAAGAATTGATCTGCCACTCGCTGGCCAATACTGCAGAAGGTTAGTGGGCTGCGCAACTTGAAAAGCGTAGACAAGACATGATCATACCCGTACAAGGTCCACCACTCGACAGATTCGATCTCCAGTGAGAAAGGCGCCATAGCTCTGACGGCCTCCGCCTTGGCGTCTTCAAGAGTAAAATTGTCGCCGTATTTGGCGAGCATCTCCGCCGTCATCGCGAAGCCGATACGCTTGACGCCATGATCCAGCTGGACCCAGAGTACGTTGCCGTGGGCCTCGGATTCGATTGAAGCGAAACCCACATCGGCATCAGGCATGTTGGTCTTGAAGTAGCCATCAATGCGAATCCACTTGAACACGGTCTGATCGCCTTCGAAGGGGATATTGGCGAGACGACGCACAAGGGAATGACCGCCATCGGCACCGACGATGTATTTGCTGGCAGATGTCAATCGGGATCGATGATCATTTGTCAGGTCCAAATAACCAAATACCTTTTCACCGTCAGGCTCTTGCCCGAGCTGACCTCTGTGACATTCGCCGTCACTTTATAATCATCCTTCGCAGCGTCGTCGACCGTGTAATGCTCCAGTTTCCAGCCGATGTAGGGCGTGCCTTCGAGGCTCTCATAAGCGCCCCGAATCACCTCTTCGGAGTATTTCTGGCGGATGTTGAGGCAGTAGTCAAGAAAGGTGCCATACGTGCGCTGGAACATGATGTGCCATCCTCGGGAGGTAACGCGCTTGCCCTTGCGATAGGTGACGCTGTTGCGCGCAACGTAACCGATTTGATTCAGTTCATCGAGAAGACCCAGCTGATCGAACATCTCGAGGGTACGAGGGTAGAGAGTTGTTGCACGGCCATACATCGCTTGGTGGGCCTTGTCATGTCGTTCTTTTCCATTATTGTTAGGCTATGTCTGTGACAGAAGAAAGGGTAAGGAGTGCTTTACCGACGAGTAGAGAGTCCACGCCCTGTAGTGCCAGTGAGTAAGCAATAAGCAGACCCACGGGGCCACCGCCAGAGATCAAGACATCCGTCTCAATGGTCTCGGACATAATGCACAACGAGAGGATCAACGGTCAATGGTCAGAGGATAGAAAGAGCAGGCAGTAGTGGAGAGATAGAATGATACAATGTTGGACAGACAAGACTGAGCTCGAGGAGAAGAACTGCTCTCTCTTATACCTCGTCTTAAGCATAGAGAGCACATTGTGAATAGAGGCAAAGAATGGCTTATGCTTGAGTTGTGGTTCATTCTCAAGCATTCTATGAGTCGCTCGGCATCAGTGCGCTTCCAAGAAAGGGAAATACCGGGTGGCGTATCGGCTGGTAATACCGGGTGGGTAGAAGAAGATGCCGGTCTGTGGAATGACGGTTGATAATCGGTATTCAAGGTATCGGATACGTACAGTACAGGACTATCAAGCTAGTTACTGCACAGCAAGCTGACTGCAGGGCGCAAGGTCCGACAGACATTCCAAATAATCCAAATGAAGCTGAATAATGGGCGTTCGGCTAAATAGGACATCGAGAGGATCATCAAGTACGTAGAAGATTTACAGGTTGCACTTTTGGGTAGTCGAACCGTTGAAGCAGAGATCTTACTTACATATTATCGAAAGACACGCTACTTAAGTGGCTTGAATGGTGGACCATTCGTCCTGTAAAAGAGAGAGAGGCCGGCTTCAGATTGCTTATAGTAGTGTTCTTCTATGAGTGGATATACAAGAAGACTCAGCTCATCATACATGAAACCAGGGCTCTTCGTCTAATTGGTCATTCATTCCTGTACATGACGACTCTCGGACCTGGGTTTGTGGTGCTCATTCAAGCACGTATTGCATAAGTAACTCAAGCTTGTCCGGTATCAGAAGCTTGTCTCTACTCAGAGTCATATACTCTGATAGCCCTTAGAAAACATCTATATCATCTCATGTACAGCCTCGAAGGGCTAAGATTCGTCCCCGAGGCGTCCTTGAAAGTCTCCCACCCTAATGTTAGTATCTATCTCGATTTCACAGAAACAAAGGTGCCGTAGGCCATAACTCGTCACCCATCGCTTCATCCATTGACCCAGCTAAACCTGGTTCTCCCAGCAGATAGGTGAAAATGTCCGAACCCGGCATGCAGAAAGAGCGCTGTTCGTCATCCAGGTCAAGAGCTTCCCCGAAGTCCGTCGCAGGAGGCATAGGTAAGTCAGTCAATGATGCTTCGCAATGGATATCCTGACCTTGGGGCTGTGATCTGTGTTCTTGACCGGCGGCTGGGTTGGTGATAGATGGATCATGCTGGGCCTGCATAAGGAGGAACAAAACTTTGTTGAGACTCTGGCCGCCAATCTCAGCAGATTTAGTAAGGGAGCTCATCTTTTCTAGGCACTCAGAGCAGCTTTTCCAAGAATCTTGAAGAGTCGACTCTGCAAACTTGGCTTTGATAGCGGAGCATGTCCGAGCTAGGGCAAGAACGATTCCGGCGGAAAAGGCATCTGAGACAGAGCAGTCAGTCAGCGGGATTCCTTGTGCTGATGCATTATCTCGTGAGAGGTAATTACAAAATACACTATACCACCACACACTAGCCAGCTCAGTTGTCGAGGTATCATTCATAAGATGTATCAGCTCGATGGCCGCCTTGACGCAATTGATAGAGCAGCTGAGCCTGAAATCCATAAATATCTCGATTGGCAACTCCGAAGACGCTTGCGGTAGAGAGGAAGCGTGCGAGACGCGAATTTGCCGACAGAACCTGATCAGGATAGGGCGCAGGAGAAGAATTCTATACTGCAGAAATCTGACAAAGAGATTCGCAATCAGAGAAGTCAGGTAATTGTTCGCAAGTCACCCACCTCGCCCTTAGCAAGCAACTTTCTCGCGAATATTGCTTACTGGTATTGGCCGGTATTTCTCCATTTTGCCAGTTCAGTTGTGCCGGAAGTTCTGACTTAAAGCCAATAATTCTACTTCTAGCTCCATCACATTTCTAGCTTGGCTGCTTTCAGCCTGAGGCTGCTCAGCTAGATTCTCCTGTCTACCTTCCCAGGGCGCAAAGATTCTTGCCAGGATTTGCCTTAGAATTTTATACAGCTGCAACGTGCGCACGTAAAATTCTGTTCTCGATAAGGCTGTGGGTGGCAATCTGGAAACTAGATTCGGTTGATCGAGGGCCTCATCATCGATGGCGTCTGGGAGAGGGACCGCTGAATCCTGGATCATGGGCGGGCGGCCCAACATCATGCTGCTCGCTCTGTGGAGATTCCGTTAGCGAGTATCGAGATCGATTGATTTTATCCTTCTAAAGTCAACAGAAGAAGAAGCTTACAGATCCAGCATGATACACCCATGCCACACACGTCTTCTGACTTGGATTTCCGCCGCCGATCTAAATCTATCCGAACTCAAGGAATGCATTCAGAGTGCTTGCGCCATTCTGCATGCAAAGCCGATGGTATTCCAGCACCGTGCTGGGGACTCGCTTCCTTGCAGATAAGATGACATCAGTAAAAGTGTCTGGACAAGCGCTAAACTCCCTTTAGCCATGGAGATGCCATTTAAGAACTTCTGGGATCGCTGGAAGAAGGCATCCGCGGTAGCTTCGCGCGTCATCCTATCCAATGAGGAGAATTAGCAGCCTAGTGCTAGGACAATGTTCAGTCCGGCATGAAATATCGGCCAGGGCAAACTTGAGTCTCCTAATCCTATTCGTTTTCCAAAGTCATCCACATCCTCTGGAGGCCCGGGCGCCCATAGAGCGCTATATGCGCGAGCAAAGGCAGGCTGGTGGAAAAACGGATATAAACTGTGAATTTCATCATAATAGCAGCCTAGCAGGTAGTCCGCTAATTCTCGTGGCGGTAGGTCAACTGCTTTGGGTGTCGGCGCCACAGGAAATGACCTTGCAGCTATGTTCGGCAAGCAAAAAGGAACAGTTTCGTTTTCTAGATGCATATTAGTCTATGTCTGCGGAACTTCTACTGCTGGAGGTGGCAAACCTGCAAAGTCCTGAATCTGCCTCAAGAAAGACGCGATTGACGAGTCTCCGAAGAACTGATCTTGCTCGGTTGGGTGACTAGCATGCCCCGCAATTATACCTGTTGCTGTAGTCCCGTTTTCGCTTTGGGTGAGTGGTTGCAGCAGCTCGGTCTCCAGCAGAGATGTGATGTTGTCTTTGGGCCAGTGCATACATGATCACTTTCGATTCCTCCCTGTGCTTGCCGTTCTGCAAGTCGGTCAGTAGGACGGTGCCCACCTACTCTGTGGTTTTGGGGAAGCTGCAAGCGGGGGCTGGAAGGTGAATCGCTTGAACCAGGTTCATTTAATCGGAAAGTATAGCTGTTATATTTTAGAACCAAGGCAGTATCGTGAAAGTGGTGGATAGACTCTACCGGTGTTCGTGGGTCTTTTTCGGATTCTCGCCGTCATAAGAGCAACTTGCTTTCCGTCGCTCACACGGACCACAGATAGGCGAAACACCATCGCAGCGAATCTTTTGCATACGGCAGACATCACAAGCGCGTGCCACCCTTCTTCTTCTTCTTGAAGTCTGAGACTAAGCAGATCTTGTCAGGGTTCCATGGAACACACGCTAGGTAGGAAGTTGGGCTACATACCATATTTGCCAGATTCCAAGATCTGGTAGCGTCTCGACTAAGATACGGCTGACCTCTAAAGGATTTGCCGATTCAGGCACTTGCTAGTGTTACCTGGTAGGTAATAAGTCCTACATATGACATGGTTGGCTGAGTGATGTTTAATGTTAATTCCCAAGTACACTCGGTTCGGTGCGTTGAGACCATCGTTTCTGCCACTGCGACCAGCTCGACCGCCTTAACCTCCCTTCCACCGGAGGGGTTATTTCAACCTTCTTCATTCGATTACATCGCCGGGGTCTTTGGTGTTTTGGGAGCAGGAAGCTGATATTATTTCTGTGATTGTTGAGGCCTTTGGGAGGTGAAGAAGGCTAGTTGATTCTGCTATGTAAGACTATCACTGAGAACTTGCTAAGGCAGCCGGGTGGGCGGTACGCTGGCACCTCAGGCACCAAGGCCCAGGGCCGCCGTCAGTAGTATTTCTTAACACTGTTTTGTATGATCTATCGCTAGTAGTCACACTCTATCATCACCTGCCATCGAGAAGCACATCTAAAAGATTGTTTGTAGGTAGGTATTATCACCAAGTCCTGCCAACAGTCCCCTGGTCCCCCGACCAATGCACCCTTGACTTCAAGTTCCTTCTTTCTGCATCTTCTTGTTGGAAAATCATTGTCCTTAGTTCTCGGCAACATATGTAAAAGGTTCCTCGTCCGCAAGCAACAATGGTCTTCTCTCCGCGTCATCACTGCCGTCACACCGTGGGCTCACCTCTGATGCCGCTGCCGGTGTCGCTGCCGGTGCCATTAGCAAACTCCAAAAACCCAATGCGCCTTGCCCAAATGCAAAAATCGCATCGTCGACGACCATGAAGCCGAACAGCCTCCACCACTCAGAAGATTCTGATAGCGAGGGCATCAGCAGCAGCAGCTGCTGCTGCCGCTGGGAAGACAACGGAGTTTGTTCGTCTACACTTGCTGCTGCTGCTGCTGCTGCCGCCACCGCCGACGCCGCAACCGGCGGATCCGAGGTGAATGGGAGTGGCTGCAACCAGTGGTTGAAGCGGAAGACCCAGAGAAATGCCGAGAGAGCGAAGAAGGCTGATTGGAAGAGGCGGGGCCGAGCGAGAAGGAGGCTAACATCCGGGGTGGACGTTGAAAGATGTCGCTGCTGCTGTCTTCCTGACCGTTGCCGTTGCTGCCTCTGTAGTTGCGCCTGCTTGTAGAAGCCCAGAACAGGAAGAATGACAGTGACGACGGGCAGCACAAAAATCTGGTGAGCAATCTGAAGGAAGGTGATGAGGTCCCGCTCCGGCAGCAGGCAATTGGAACGGTTCGGCGGGCAGAAGATGTCGGTGGTGAGGTCCAGACCGAGAGGGAGGAGAGTAACTAGCAGGAATAGGGCGTAGACTGTGAGAAGTAGAGGGGTTCGGCGCCGGCGGTGGTAGAGACACAACGCGAAGCTGCCGCGCGCATCGAGGACAAGAGACATATCATCAGTCGGACTATCTTTGAATAGTGGCTTGGTATTTTGAAGGTGGTGGAGCTGATGCTTACAAGACGTTCAGGCAGACCCAAACTACCAATACTTGAGCAAGGTTGAGCCAGTCCAGGGTGGAAAATGAGACCGGAGCGGTGTCTGTCAGGGCCCAGAAGAGGGACATGAAGCGGCCGATCATGAAGACGTGTTCAGTGGCGCAGAGCAGGTTGAAAAGCAGGTAGGCTGATGAGATTCCCCGGCTGTCTTTCGTCTGCCATACATGCTGGATTTGGGAAACGAAGGAGGCCCAGACTAGAGCGAGATTGAGCCTGATGCATCGTCAGTTAACAATACGTGCAACATAAAACTAGATTTTGCAAACATCTTACCCACTGGACAGCACGAGAACCAGTCCCATTAATTTGAACGGGTTGGGTGGAGAACCGGGAAGAAGAGATTACAAAAAGGGTTGGTTGGGAAAAGAAAAGAAAAAAAAATGAAGGGATGGATGCCGTGGGAAGAGAGGCCTTTTGTCTCATTATATATAGTATATCCCTGCATCTCGCAAGCGCCGCTATTTTAGCGGCAATTTAGCGTTTTCGAAGTGCAAATCCAGACAAAAAACAGGTACTGTACTAGCTGTCTCGAAAGGGCAGGTCACTGTGGGCCTGCAATGTGCAGAGAACTGCTTGTGACAAGACAGGTTACAAAGACAGTACTTTGAATCTGGGTTAATTTTGAACCAAAAATAGCAGCATAAAAGTCATAATCGCAACATCAAACAAATGATTATACAAAGAGATCTAACCAAGGAAAAAAGACCATACCCTGTAATACACACAGTAAGGTCCCCATCGGCAATCTGATGCTAGGAAAGGGACGGTCGGCGCTGCCATGCATAAAGTGCTCTCAATAAATGCCTCTTAGCGAATCCAAGACAGCATCACGATACAGAGCCATACCGGCACTCCGAGGATGGAACGTTTTGATCTGTTTATTAGGGAGCAGAATGTTGATACTCTCGGCCGTGTAGTTACCGTCAGTCATGTCGTTGTTGGCCTGGGCCACAAGCTGCGCCATAGGTCCATCGGGATAATTGACGACTGCTACTGCCACGTCACACCAGTAAACATCAACTGGATCAGGACTATCCCCAAGCGTGCTGTTGCAGGTGGTGCCATCCGGCAGTGGCAGGCTTGTATGTCCCTGCAGGCTGTTTATATAATTGCTATCGTCCGTGGAGGCTTGCTGTATGGCGTTTGCCTCCGTCACATCGGGCCAGCCACTGAGGAAGAAATAGGTAGCGGGATTCGTAGGGTCTGGCTCTTTCACCCCATTCTCACACCATCGGTGACCCTCAAAGCGTGCATCCACATCCACATAGAAGACAGCCCAGCCATGCAAGCGGTAGTTGGCGTCCATGGCGGCATCCTTGATGACTTGATTTACTTGGTCGACGAGCTCGTTCAATTCCTGCCGGAGGCTCGTGGTCAACTGAGTGTCTGTTCCCTCATTGCTACCCCAGTACTTGAAATCGATGTCGTTGCAGTACGTGGTCTCGGCATTGAAAAACTTGGGGTATCCAGGAGCCCAGATTCGAGTGGTCTAAGCGATATAGATAAGCAAAGACACTTAAGAAATCGCGGCTTTGAGGAGCAGAGCAAAAAGTCAAACTTACGCTGTGGACGTCAACCGGTGCATTGATCTCGATATACATATCTCGTAGCTGGGCCTGCAGCCCTTTCTCGCTTTTGTCAGCTATCAGATTTCGAGCGGCCGTCTTGTAACGCTGGCACCACCATCTATCCCACCAAGCCGGCATGCCCAGATATCTCAGAATACAGTGCTTGACAATGTCTGCAAAGCCGACATCGTTGCCGCCAATCGTCACCGTAATCAAGCTAGTGTCTTCTATGTTCTTCCATTGCTTGAGCTTGCCACGCATCTCAGAGATCTTGTCTCCCGAGCATGCTAGATTCTGGAAGAAGATGCTCTTGTCGTCCAGTGCGTCGTATATGAGCTGTCCATAGCTGGAGGATCCCACGCGGCAGGAGTCCCAGGAGGTAGAGCCGGTCCCTAAGCCCGCGGCGTAAGAATCACCGAAGTGCACGTATCCGGTGATGTTCCAGCTATTAGCATCCCAGACAATGTAGTCATCAAAGGAAGGGCACGAGTCTGTGGCTGCGCGCTTGGCTGGAATGGGGGGCAGCGGTGGCGTGGGAATGGTGTGACCGCACTTTTGAGTGAACCAGACGCCCGCCGCGACGAACTGATACGATTCGGCATTCTTGGTTGCAGCTTCGGGAGGACATATTCCTTCATCAAGTTTGCCGTCGGAGTTCGTGGTGGGGCACTCAATTCGTTGATTATCCACTATGGGAGTTCTCTTTCCGGTTTTCCGATCGATCTTGAATGCCCAAGGAGCACAACGCCGGTCAAATTTTCCAAGCGGAAGCAGATATCCAGCGTTGAATCCGTACGTAAAGTCTCGAGTCCTGGCAGAATGGCTGTGTCAGAAGCAGTCGGGAGGAAAAGCTGAAGGGGCCTAAGAACTCACCCTGGTTTCCCAAGCATAGCATACTTGGAATGGGTGGCTTCATGAACCAGAGCAGAAGACCGTGATCGTGCAGCGGCGCGTAGATTCATCGTGTCACACTGACCGAGCAGATCCTCAGTGGCATATATCTGTGGATCGTTGAAAAACTTCTGGCAGAAATTGATCCGCTTGGTGGCTGCGTTCATGGAGCAAACCTGCTTGTCTTCCTGGTTCCGACACTTGACCGTCTCTTCGCAGGTCAGCACGGGATGAAGCTTGACCGCGTTTCCGGCCAGAATCTCTGCCACTCGTGTATAAGTTTGAGCGGTGTCAGACAGAAAGCTGGCATCTGTGGCAGGGCCTTGACCGAAGAAGATCTGGTCGTATCCGCCGAGGCTCAAGTGCGAGGCAGCTGCCTTGGCCATTTGGATAGCATTCTGCAGTTCCAGCACAATGACTTGCTTCTGAGCGTCTGTGCAAGTCTGTCCTGGCTCGGTACTCCACTTAGGGTTGATGGTTGTGGTCGAGACTTGGTCGTCTTTGTACCTACATGCTCCGTCCGGACAATATCCTCGCGTGCAGGTGAAGTCACAGAGATCGTCGAAGCCATTGCCGCCATCAAGACCGAGTGCTGGAATACCGTGGCCCTTCGTCTGCGCTGGAGGCTGCACGAGCGCTCCGGTCGCTGTGCAGGTACAGAGGGAGTGCGGACAGTAGCCAAAGCCACAAGAATACGAGCAAAGTCCCGCGTAATTGCCTTGGCCGGTTCCGGCGATACAGGCAGGTGGGAGGAAGTCAGAGACCGTTGGTACCGGCATGGGATGCTCGGTGGTGTCGCATGTCTTGGAAGGACAATGGCCGTAATTGCAAGCGAAGCTGCAGAGGCCGGCGTAATTGGCGTCCTTACCCTCGGCTGGATAGCCAGTGGTGCCTGTCGCCTTGGGCTTCGTGCGCGCCACCCCCATCTGCTCACACGTACATGCTCCTACGGGACAGTACCCATACGAGCAGGCGAAGCTACATAGATCATCAAAGTCATACGCTCCCTTGCCGCGGATACACACCTGATCGGACAAGACAACCTCTGTCGTGCGACTCACACCCCCATTGATGCTGGCAAAACTGCCCACCCAGGCATTGTAATTGCTGTAGCCCCCCTGACAGGACGTGCTCGATACCTCAAGTCCTTTGGCCTCGCCCAAGGCCTGGTCCTCGTTGACCATCAGAGTCACTGTCACCGCGCCTTCGTACAGCGGCACGCTGCCAAAGTACACCCCAGCGCCGATTTCGTCGTCTGGCTTCGAGTCCCATGAGACATATGATGCATGTCCCCCATTAACCACGTATACTGCGTGAGACGAGTCGGCTAGCAGGGCCATGACATAGATTCGATCCTCCAAAACATCCTTAGGGTCGAATTCAATCTGCAACTGGGAGGCGGTATTCACAGTCGTACCCGCGTCCTGACATGCTGCCACCGGCTGGGGGAGGTACCAGAAGACGACCTTTTCTTGGGTCACGGAGGCCTTTCCATTCTTATATAGATCAATCCAGAAAGGAAGCGCCTCGCGCCAGCCATCGTGGGGAAAGTCCACGGCATAATTGAAGAGGGCTTGTCCAATATCAAAGGCCGCCATAGAGGACTCACGAATTGGCCCGATGTAGTGCGACTCACCATAGTCATTCCAAGAGATGATTTCCACAAATTCGGGCATAGGGTCCAGAGCAAACAGCTCCTGCCAACGATCGAACCACAGGCTGCCACCTTGCCAGATCCAGTTCTTGTCATAGCCTATAAGGTTTGTGTAGAACCATGGGGATACGGCAAACATGTACGGCTTGCCCTCAAGGTACTGGATATACGATGCATCGGTGTAGGTGTCCATTGTTCGGTTGCCCCAGGGCCAGGCAGCCCAGCTGAACAGGCCGTCTGCCACCCCATTCGCCAGGGCCATGGCCGGCTTAGCTCCCACAGACGACCAGTCCGGCATAAAGAAACAGCCTGTCTGTGCTTTAATAGTGACCCAGTCTGCAGCACTGTTTGGACCCTCAAAAGTTGACACAAACGGTTTGCCCTCGTGCAAGTAGTATGCCCCATTTGACCCGTACTGCTGAATCATGTTAATCACAACCGCTTGGTCCCACGGCCCGTTGCCAGCATAGTCAAAGGAAAAGAGAAGCTGGAAGCCAACGGCGTTAGCAGCAGTAAAGGCCATTGCCACGGAAGCATCATTGGTCTTGTCGAGGTATGCCATGTTCAGGGCAAAGGCGTCAATGTGCGCGCTTTGAGCCAGCTTCATATCATTTTCCCAGTCGGTGAGCGTGTAATTTTCCGAGTTTGTCACCTAGAAATATAGTTGACTTCCAGTCAATTGCCGAGTTTCTATAGACTGCTTGAGAGGTGAAGAAGAGCCCCTCTTTCCTCCTCTAGAGTGTGTATCGAACGAAGACCACGCACGTACCATAAAGTGTGCAAACACAGCTCTTGCCTGTGCCTGGTGAACAATCTGCAAGGCCGCCAACAAGGCTATCCATGTGAACCAATTCATTGGTACTTTAGGTTCCGGCTTGAAATCAATAGATAAACGCGAGGATGAATAGATAAAGAACTAAATGACTGGATATCTTTATAAAGGAATGAATGCATGAATTGTCGAATAAAGATATAAAGAGAGAATAGAAGAAATGGTAGAATAAAATAGATAGATAAATGAATGGATGAACGAATGGCCGGATTAGCAATGAGTTAGAACTGCAGCTGCGACGATGGCCGACTTTATACTCTCACAGAATAAGGATCTGTGGAGTTAATACTACGCGAGCTCTTCAGCTGTTGCTAAACGGCCATGAAGATATGACTACAATCTCGGACACGGCGACTCGAAACAGCTCGTCGACCCGTTGAGGCCATTCAGAAGATAGTTTAGTGACAGGCTAGCCTAACTTTAGAGCAATCCACACCTGCGCTGCCTTAGCCATAGTGTACGTAGCCGTGAGATCTGGTAGGCAGAGAGTCATTTTTTTTTCACAGTTAACTATTACTAGAGAGCCTCTGCCGTGATGACACTGCAAGCCTCGGGTAGAGAGACATTAATTTCAGTCCCAGGGGTATCAAATGAACGCTCCCAAAACCACTGTGTACAATTCTCAGTCTGGGATCCACCGACTAACTGATTTAATGCGATTTCTGGCACCTACACGAATGCAGCTGGCAATGATTGATGTTGCCCACTGTATCTTATGTGGCTCTCTGCGAGGGAAAGGGCGTTGCAGCGAAAGACTACAACGTGCATACGTGATGTGATGTCTATCAGTTAAAGAAATTGGCCTTGTTGCAGTTCCTGCTCAATAGAAGCAAGTTCCAGAGACTACGGAGTAGATCGCATCGAATACCTACTGAGTACGGAGTACCTACCTAGTAGTCGCGGGTACTTGGGCTCCTAAGTGCAGTTTCCAGACGTCGCCGGCGGACCGGTGGCAAGCCTATTGAGTACCTAAGTTAGCTCGTGCGTCTTGCGTTTTAGTGTCTGTGCCAAGGCCACAAGCCTCAGGGACATTCCGAACCCAAGCCCAATCGAGTCCTGTATGTATTTCCTGTTAGGGCTAGGCGGAGGAGAGGTGGTTGCCACTATCAGGGACGGATACTAGGTACTTTCCTATGTTGACCAATCTCGCGATACAGGAAGTCTCGCCATGTGATCAAATGGTGCGATCTCGAGGTCCCTTGAATTATCTGTCGGGGCCTATCCGACAGGCAGCAAAGTACACAGGGATTGCTCTTTGCTGACTCTGTACGGAGTGCTTACTTCGGGCCCCTTTTTCTCTCTCAACCAAATCTTACACCGGATTTCTAAAGCGTCACCCACTGTGTGGATCTGTCCTGGTGGGGGAGCTTTGGACCATCGAAGTCGCAGTCCATTACTCAGGTCGTGTACTCGTCGAAAAAAAGAGATGACAAGGAAAGAGCACAGAGGTTCCTAGGACCCAGTTCACGCATCTCCCGTGGGTTCTTACTGAGCATGGAATTTGAGTGCACTGACTTGCTCGATTTAGGCGAGAGTGTCAAACGGAGTCTTGGTTCAATTCAAGGTTGACGCACGAAGGATTATCCGGGTTGGAGCTTGAAGATCAGAGCTCAGACAGCCGCAGGGATCCGGGCCTCGATGTGTTCGCTTAGGGCTGTGGTTCAGGGACTTACTCCGGTTGACCCTGGTGATTTTGTTAGTACGGTGGAGAGGTGCAGGGATGTGAATATTGATAGTTATAGCCATTCAGAGTTGATCCTTACGGCTTTATGTGGCATTTCAATAAGGCGGTGCTGTATGAAAGACCTACCGCCTCAAGGATTCATATCCCTGCACCTCTCCACCGTACTAACAAAATCACGAGGGTCAACCGGAGTACTTATTGACTAATTGTATTGTAACGATACAGTACTGTACTAGAATATACACAAATGTAACTTATATGCAATGTGGGCCATGTTGAAGACAGCCAAGTATGGTACCTAGTTCCTGTGACGGAGGGCACGCACGACATTCAGACACTGTTGGGTCGATTTATACTATTTCCAAATCAACCGGAGCCGCGGCAGGAACGATAACGACAGGATTCTGCTTAGGGTCTAGCACAATCCGGCTTCCAGTGGCTGGGACTGTGACCATAGTCGCCAGATGATCCTCTCGAGTTCCCCAAGCCCACCAAACAAGCTCGATTCCTTTGAAGAGACACCGTATCAGTTCCCCGGCTTCAGCCTCCCCACCATCGCTGCTCTCAATGTCCGTAATCAATGGGTGTCGCAAGGTGTTAGACCAGGTTTCGCCCGGATGCAGACAGGCAAAGCTGCCATCGCTGCCGGGGGAGACTTGAATATCCGGATCATCGCAGAAGGTATTGCTACCCCAACCGCAACTGAAGCCTTCCATATCTACCCACCGATCGCGCCATACCCAGAGCTTGGGGGTTAGTCTCGTAGTGTTGAAGGTAATTGGTCTACCACTGCCATCACCGGTCCGTTCGTAAGTGACATGCAGCGTCGCAGTCACAAGGTCATCCTTCAAGGCAACCTGGCCCTGGGGATGGCATTCGATTCTTGCGATTAGTGTGGGACGGGGTTCTTCCGCTCTGAGAATGGGAGATATTAGCACGTTCGCTTACTAGGGACTGAAATCCAGCAACCATGGAATTTCAAAGAAGAGGTTCACGCAGAATATTAGAAGAGAGCACGGGGAAGAAGGCAGGCAGGAAAAACTGAATCTCACCCGAACAATGGCGCTGGCGCCATCGGCTTGTCCCCGTCATCCTCGACCGTGAAGGACAGAAATGGGCCGCCTGGCAAGACGAGGGCGGTCTTTGCAGGGGGAATATAGCCATAAAAACTTGTACCGTCGGTCAGACACCATGAGGTATAATTTTGCCCAGGCCAGAAAAGTACATATCGTTCTCCAGTTTGTAGGTGTGGGAGAAGACGCTCGGGGAAGACGTCGTAATACTGCTGAATTCCACCAGGTTCATGTTCATTGAGAGGATAAGAGCGCCAAAGTTCTAGTGGAGGAAGTGCATTGCATCTAGGGAGCTCGACTGGCCTCAATTCGCCTTGCGCGGTATGATGAAGAAGAATAAATCCGCCATTGGCAATAAATCCATGCATCTGCGGACTCCATGAGAAGAGACAAATCTTGCTGCCTTCGTCTACACGCTGCAGTGTAACTTGGAATAGGTATGGAGCTGTGCGCGACAGCCTTTCTGGGCCTTGAAATGCGAGCGAAAACGCAGGCGCATCAGGACTATGCGGATAGCAGTTAGGTGATTATCGATCAGAAGCCATAGAACGGAACGCTTGCTCACCGGCGGTCCTTCTCAGTACATCGCAGGTAGGGCATTAAAATTTCTTCCATTCTAGTTTGATGGGAAGAGTGTATGGGCAGGGGATGCGTGGACATATGCTGCAGTAAAGTAGTCAAGTCAGTTGCAATGGTTTTCTTTATCACTTGGGGAGGAGGGGACGGAATGGCAGATCGTGTAGTTACACAGTTCCACGTGTCATCTTTGTTCATTAGATCAGGGTGTTCGGAGAATATCAAACATACCATAGGTAGTAGTAAATAAGTTACAGGTCACCTACCTAGTACAAAGGTAGTATGGGAAGACTTTAGATTGTAATTATATGCAGGGCTAGAGATTAGTTCACTGGGGAAGTCGGGGAGTGGGGCGAAGCCCCCAGAAAGTCAGAAACTAAAGTTACTACAGAGTGAGGGTAGGGTGTCTTGGAGCGTCGGGACTGCGCGAAATTTTACGCTGGGCAACAAGGGTGGCGCAGTTTCTAGTCAGGTAAGCAATAATATTAGAATAATTAACTTAATTAATTGGTCTGTCATATGACTCATTTTCGATATGTTATGCAGACTCGGTACAAAGCCACCTGCAGAAAAACCACCTGCAGCTCAAGTTCTGTAAGTTTTTATTCTTCTATTAAGAGGATGGGTTTTTGGAAATCTAAACTAACTGGAGTTGCTATGGAAACGCGAGACACAGTATTTTCAACGTGATCAAGAGTTTTTGGACAGGAATTCTTGAGGGGAAATGAAGGCAGACTGGGGTTTTCTTATATATGTGGATGTACTGATTGTTCAATTCTGATATTATTTGAAGTTCTTTTTTTTAGGACCTATATGAGTTTATAAACCAGAAACTTTTGTTTCACTATTTAGTTCTTCTCTGGAGTTGAATGCAGTATAGATGATAGTATCTATTGAATGATAACTGGCATTGGAAGATGTAAATCGGTAAGATCTAATAGTCTCAAACAGCTTAATATTGGTTTTTTCGGTAGCATGAGTGTCCTAATTGCACCTGTCTATCGGTAAGCACCTGCTTGAACAGCTGTCTAAAGGCCTTGCCTTACAGCTTTGATAGTCTGCTATCGCAGCTCCTCAAGGGTGTTTACGTAACGATTCAAGGGCCTGTTTATACAGCTGTTCGAAAAGCCTTTTCAAGCACCTTCTTTGACATTATTCCTATACAAACATACGTGTAATTGATTCAGACCCACAGCCTGAATCTGCAGCTGTGGGTGGCTTCAGGAAGAACCGACGTGACGACGACAGAAAAGAGAAAATGATAAGTTACACCTTACTAACCCAAGACCCCCCTCCCCCCTGAAGCGCAGTTGAATGAGTCATGTGACTAGGTCCTCCTTAGAATAAGCTGCCAATCAGATTTCTTAGCCAAAGGAAGCCGTTCTGTGCAGTCACTGCAATCAGCGGCCCTTGCTCAGGCCCTCGTCGTGGATACCTAGCCCTGAAGCTAGCGCTTTGCAAACGATCGTTATATACTAAATATCGTAATCTTGTTATGTGGATATTGATGACATCAAGTATATACATTGACTCGGACCTGAGGATCCCGTCTGCAGACTCTCACCTATCTAGGCAATTCCTGCCTTCTCAACGATATTTGTAAAGGCAACCAATCTTATCGTTCCGATAATCACTCTAAGGCGATGCAGCGATCATTTTATAGTAGAACTAGTTTGTATTCGGAGAAATTGTTATGTACAACAAAAAATCGCCTTACCGAGGATCATTATGGCGAAGGTCTTAACAGTAGAAGGAATCACCGGTGATCTGGCTCGGGAAACAGGAACCAGACGGTATGTCGCATATACTATTATATGTAAAACTCACTCCGGAGTACTGAGTATACAGAGTATATCATGCAATAATGCATAAGTTCTTCCTAGACCAGGCCGCCGAGTCAGCAACTGGCAGACAATAACAGCTAGGATATCTTGACCGGGGCAGAGAATACGTTTCATGTTAGAGAATTATGTAGTACCTCTAATTTACTTATTAAATACCTCTAGTATATTTATATCCTATTCCGGTCCACTTCACTTCAGAAATATTCCATATAAGTAAATAATATGGTTTCTCGTATCAAATATATGGTATTATACTTTTGATGCTATAGCGTGTCTATGGTGATGCAAGTAATACTGGATATCATTCACGCGCACTGACTCATCCTACTGTTTTAGCTGAGCACCAACAAAGTCTTTCTCGTCTTCCTCCCACTTCTTGCGTTCAACCACGCTACGAGCCCTGTACAAGACCCTATGATTAGCTCATGATCATCGGCTTCTAATGCTGCGTAGTACGTACCGGTATGCTCTCACAAAGCGCCAGACTTCCGAGTCCGCCAGGTTCCAGGCTTCTGCAGCAGCCTTGGGGTTGGGTCGGTTGTTGGGCTTTTGAGCCTTGATGATTTCGCGAGCCTGTTGAATAATCTCATATTCCTTTGGAACTCCCTGCTCGCTCGGAGTGGCATGTTGCACAGATTCCTTCTTCTCGTCTTCATTCTTGGCGTCCACCTTGCCGTCTCGAGGGATCTTGAAGCCAAATTGCCACTCAAATTCATCCAGCAGCTCAGTCGGAAGGGACTGACCGGCATGAGAGGGTAACGATTCAACAGTCATCCATAACGAGGTTCCAACGACAGCATCATCAGCAACGGCCCTTTTAAACACCGTAGATCTGGGCAACCCGCCGATTTCAAGACCCAACTGGTCTTTGGTGACTTCAGTCAACCATACATCCCGATCCGTCTCGCGCCGGATGTGGCGGATGCTCACGTCGGTGGAATCCTGCTGCAGACTAATCAATGTAAAAGGGTGAGGAAGTGTCCCGACGGTAAAAACTCGAGTCGTGTTCCTGTAGGTAGCCGGTTGGCTCAATTGCATTGGCTTCGCCGGATCACACGGGTGGCACTTCGGTAAGTTGGGCGGGCATGACTGCGGTACAGGAGAGCTCGGGCATTGCACGAGGGCCTTCGCAAGACGCAAAGCAGGCTCAACAAGAGCAGTTGTGTGCTTCGGAAACGGCTTCAAGATGGCAATACCTGCTGGGAAGGCATTCTGGAAAGTATTGTGTAGATGCGAGTTAATCAACTCTGCCAGTGCCAGTCGTCCTGCAGTCGGAGACGACACTATCTTCTCCGCGATTGTTGGGTAATGGCTAGTGATGGTTGAGGAGTCGTACAAAGCCAGCGAATCAGCCCCCTCCACCTTGAAGAGGTCGGTCGAGGCCAACCCCACCAGGGAGGTAGACGTCTCATCAACTTTGTTCAGAGCCTGCTTGATCACCTCGTTGATGTGAGATTTCTCCCCAGAATATAGGGCGGCCCCAAGACGATCGAAGCGGGTGATGAAAGCTGGATCGGAACCACGGCGCAGGGACGACAAGAGCGCGTCGTCATACCTAGCCATGGGGAAACAGTGCCAATCCGCAAGCAAGCCATCGCCCATGTGTCCCCAAGCAAGCCATTTAAAGATCTCGCTTTCGAGTTCTGGTTTGAACTTCACGCGCTGGACCAGCTCGTAGAATTGGTTGTTCGTGGCTTCTCCCCGCCCAAGGATCACGGGACGGAATCCTTGAGCATACCAAGCTCTGCGCCATGCGAGAAGAAGCTGAGCATCAGCATTATTCTCCTCCACGTCATTGCCCTTGTTCGGCTCGTAATATGTGTAAATGAACGGTCTGTCCCTCAAGGGGGGAAGCACGGATCGATTCTCGTCGAGCGTGATGGAGGACGAAAAAGGATTGATCCATGACCAATCGCTAAACCAGCTAGTTTCTCCACTCGTGCTATTCGGCTGAGGCTCGGGGGGAGTATGAACGGTGGGACGGAAGGATGGCAGGTGCAAGTCGTTGAAGGAGGGAAGCTTCGGATGAGGAACAAATCTGGCCGGGCCGGAGACTGCTGAATTGGTAGCTGGGGAGGAGGAGAAGATTATCAATAGAAGAGCGACAAAAACAATAATGGTCAGAAGAGCCGTGCTCCGATGAGGAATCATGTTGACATAGGGATGTGACCGTCTCGAACGAAGCGTCGAGAACAAGAAGAAGAAGAAGAAGAAGAAGAAGAAGTCGTTCGAGTATAGGAGGTGAGAAAAAAGTGAAGGCGGTGCGACAAGATGATGGGCTCTTCTTCCGCCTATCTGGATGCGAATACGAACAGCAGCACTTTTAGGGGTGGAGGGGATAATAGCAAAGAGTGGAAAAGTAGGAAGACGTCACGACAACAAGTCAAGTCAGATTTCAAGCCATGGTCAACGGAGTCATGTTCTTGCCCTCAGAATGGTATGTACAGTGGGTGTGAAGTCAGTACCTGAGCGCAACGATGCAGCCCTGGAGCTCAACCTGGAGCCTGGAGTTTGTTTCCAAGGATAAGGAAAGCCCCAAAGCAGGAGCACGGATCAACTACAGCTGAGTACTACGCTGCATGCGGTAAAGACGGTTCAGGGTCCGCTCCCGTCCATTTTTACAGGCGCTCCAGGCTCTTTTTGTGGCTAGGCCATATGGGTACTGGTACGTAGGTAACATGTGGCTGGGCCCCGCCAAAGGCGGTGAAACTCTATCGCAGCCTCAGGCATTCAAGTAAGTATGCAGTGTGGGGACCCAAAGAGAAGCTGCCGACATCGGCACTTATTCGCCTGCCCCTCTTGACTCATCGCCTCTCGCCCATCGATAAACTACTAAACTTCATTTCTTTCCCCTCCCCCTCCCCCACCACCAACCATCCTGACTGCAATCATTGACTTGGACTGCAATCATGGGTGCTGAACCAGTCTCCTTACAGGAGCGTCTTGAGCGATGGGCTCAACGACTACAGAACCTTACTGTCTCCCCCCTCACAAGAGATTATCCCGACAACCACAAGCAGGAGCTTCCCAAGAGAGCAATCGAAGCCTTTGAGTCAATTAAGCTGTCCCAGGGTTCTCAATCAGCCCTCGAGAAGATCTCCAATTCCTCCTCGAGTTTCACTGTCTTTCTCACTGCCTTCGTTGTTCTCGTTGCCCGTCTGACCGGCGATGAGGACATCGCCATCGGCACCAGTT